TCGGGAGGGGAGTGGCTATACGACCGTACGTGGTCCGGGAGAGGGAGTGGAGTGACTGTACGACGTAGTGGCCGGAGAGGAGGGAGTGACTGGACGGACGTAGTGGTCCGGAGAGGGAGTGAGCAGGTCAGTGAGGGAGGAGGGGGCCTGGTGATGGAGCAGGTCAGTGAGGGAGGAGGGGAACTGGTGATGGAGCAGGTCAGTGAGGTAGGGGGGTCCTGGTGATGGAGCAGGTCGGAGAGGGAGGAGGGGGCCTGGTGATGGAGCAGGTCAGTGAGGGAGGAGGGGAACTGGTGATGGAGCAGGTCAGTGAGGGAGGAGGGGAACTGGTGATGGAGCAGGTCAGTGAGTTAGGAGGGGGCCTGGTGATGGAGCAGGTCGGTGAGGTAGGGGGGGCCTGGTGATGGAGCAGGTCGGTGAGGTAGGGGGGGCCTGGTGATGAAGGGGTTTGTAGGTAAGGAGAAGGATCTTGAAATGGATGCGTTGTGGGACGGGGAGCCAGTGGAGGTCTGCAGGACGGGGGGATGTGGTCACGGAGCGGGAGAGGAGTCGGGCGGCAGAGTTCTGAATATACTGGAGTTTATACAGGATGTGTACCAGAGGATGCTGTTGCAGTAGTCTAGTCTGGATGAGATGAAGACATGGATGAGCAGAGAAGGAGAGTGATGGGCGGTGACGGGATATATTTTTGAGATGGGAAGAAGGCAGTTTTGGTGATGTGCTGTCGAAAATGACTGAGGTTGCGGATGTGAGGGGAGGGGTCAGAGTGGAATGTCAATGGTGAGGGAGATGTCGTTATTATTTTTTGGTGAGGGATTTGGGACCGATCATGACCATTTCAGATTTATCACAGTTCAGTTTGAGGAAGTTGTTTTGCATCCAGGATTATATTTCAGTGAGACAGTTGGTGAAAGTTGAAAGAGTTGAAGTGGTTATGGATTTTGTTGAGATGTTAAGTTGGACATCGTTCTGAATAATTACTACCCATATCATAAGCTTCAATAAAAGTGGTGGCAGCTTTTTATTCAGACACAGCTGTGTGATGTTTTCAGAGAAATTAAGCTATTCCAGATTTGACAAACAGGAGTAGATATGAGTAAGTCTTGACAGTTGAACATCAATTAGACTATCTATTAATTTCAAAAAAACTGATTGAAAGTGTATTCTGTTAAATGACAACATAAATGTGACCATCACACATTACGAGAATTACAGCTGATGTATTTTAGCTGCTCATTTCCCAAACACACCTAAAGTTTGAAATCTATTTTTTAAAGATTTCATGTGTCTGACAACTGGTCCTTTGGTTGCTTTGGAAAGAGTCTCAGGTACTTTGCTATAGAAATTATTCGTTTTGGATTGCAGTACACTCATGTAGGTTTATCATGCAGCACTGTCTATTACGGTAGTAACTTTTGCTGTTATCTTTAAATGAGTCAGTTTCATTTCAATAATTGTAGATGAATAGTTTTAAGGATTACATGACATATGTTCTTCCTAGCAGGTGGAAGAGTCCACCTTCAGAGCAGGTAGAGATGCAGGTTGTTCTCCTGCGTATCTTTCCCGTCACTCCTGTCACTTCCTATTTGTCGGATCGTCCTGTCTGGATGTGGCCTCTCACACTCACTTCCTCCCTCACCATATAAGGACTCTTCCTGAGCTGGGAGCCATTTTCACCATTCAGTATCAGTCAGTGCTCACTAGTAACAGAGAGGTGACTGCAGTGTAATTCATTTGAAAGAATCCAGTCTTTTTGTCACTGTAAATGGCGAATTTCTTAAATGCAGAACTTGATAATTTGTCAATTGTTAAAGATATCTTACAATGAGCTCACACTGCTTGATGTGCAATTGGATACACACGTTCTGTGATTCTCTGACAGGTTATCAACTCCGATGTGATATCAAAATTGTCAATGCAACTTTTAAAACAGTGATACCAATACACTTGTTCCCTGTGCAAAACACTGTTACACTTGCCAAAGCAGCTATTGTTGAATACTATATTTGGTTATTGATAGGACAACAAACGTCCACCTTAAAGTAAGTCACTTAGTGGATTTATTACTGCATCATCATGAAAACACAAATCTTGTCACAAGGTCACATTTCTTACAATAGGGTTAATTAGGGGTATTTCTGATCAAATACCAATATTGCTTGTATATGATCTGCATATTATACATTTGCAGATTCAATTACTTTAAATACCGTTTGAATGCCTCAAACATTTATTAATAATAATAATAATAATGAAATGACTTTGGCAAGACCTCGACAAACTACAATGGCACAAGTGGATAGATCCAGTCCCATGGAGAACAATGCCCCTCCATTTACCATCAGATGAACACAAGAGTGCACTATAAAGACAACTTCGGTGCAAACCGACCAGATACCATGTGAAATGCACCATGTTTTGATTAATTTGAGATTCAATAGTAATGTTAAAGCTTTACTTAACCCGGCAAGCCCGGTAACAGTGCACATACATCAACACTTTACAGTTTCCACTTCAATAAGAAGGTTCCAGACTTGCAAACACAGGGAGGAATTCATGGGAAACTTGAATGAGTGCACACAAGATCGCTGAATGAATACTTAGATGAGCAGAAGTGATGTGTAATTATGCTATAGGAGAATTAGCAGCCACGTGTGAAACGGTACCACCCTCCTCCTAACACCAAATAATGGAATGCATTCAGAAAACACTGATCATCCCATACTCATCAAGTAGAGTTCACCACATTAGAAGCATCTCTGACCAGAAGCACTGTCGCTCTTCTGCAACACCTCCATACTAACAAGTCATGTTTCTTTGGACAGTCATTATTCACACATTCGTTTATCACCCTGTTCGTCTAAGAAAAAGAGTAAACTAAAAATGTTGGTCTTCTATAAAGAAAAACATACTATTACACAATAGTCATACAATAAAATCCTATTAGCTGATATGAGACAATATGAAACAAATATATCAGTGTATCCTTTGACTGGGACCTAACAAGCATGACTAACAAAAACAAAGACATGTAAATAAAGTGACACCCTACTTAGAAAGATCACACCCAGAAGGGGTCCAAATACCATGGAGCTGCCATCAATGCTGCTGTACTGCTGTCTGTCTGACGTCCTGCTATTGAAGTCAACTACTTTTCAGTCATAAAGAATCTGCATTGCATTTCGCATTGTATGTGCCTCCATCTATCACATCATCTCTACCATAGAATTGATAAAGGTACAGTTCCAACATATTATCCAACTTGTTGGCTGTTGTCTGAGCACTGAAGAGACCACAAACTCACAACCTACTTTTCCACTGTCATGTGTACGGACTGGGTCAAAATCAAAGGTGAAAGGACTGGATCCTGAAATTAATCCTCTCAACCTTCTACTGAACTACACAGAGAAAATAGAGAAAAACAGATAAACAATTTAAAACAAGAAAAAGAGAGGAATGAGACAGAAAAATGAATGTGAGGCACATGAAGTAGTGCATTGGTGTGGTGAGGCACAGTGTGTTTGGAGCTCACATTGCATGTCAGGAGGCGGGTGCAGACCTTCTTCCTGTCAGGGTCAAGGACGCCGCAGTGTTTGTCCAAGTCACACTCCCTCTCTGAGGAAACACACAGCATCTCAGATACAGCACCACGTCCAAATCTCTGCAGCTTACATAGTGACAAAAAACCGATGTCCACAGATTGTAGACATATTCACCAGAATGTGTTCTTCAAGCTAGAATTCCAGTGTTTTCAACCAATTGACAGACTGTATATTCTGGAAGCATTTCCGTGCTTTTTAGTGGACCGTCAGCAAAGATGCAGTTTTAGTTTAATTGAATACATTGATATAAGACAAGCCGCGTCATGGTGTGCATTTCAGGCACGCTTTACACACATGAGCAAAATCTGAGTTGTCTTTTTAGAGGCAGTTCTGTTTTCTTCTGTATTATGTGCATTTCGACAGTATGAATAGGCTCTGAGGGCCAAACATGAGTGCATACTGTCCCTGAGAAAAACCCAGAAAACTGAAGCTGCTGTAATTAAGTGAGGCTTTGAGCTGCAATGATTAGTCTATCAACAAATAAACTATTTTGATAATAGATTAGACATTAAATATTTTTTCATGCAAAATTAGGAGATTTCCTGCTTTTCTCAGTTTTTTTCTTTATCAAAATTATCTGAATATCTTTGGGTTTTGGACTGCCAAAAACACTTAAAGACATCACCATGAACTTTGAGAAACTGGGATTTAAAAAAGTAACATAGAAAAATTGATAATGAAAATAGTTGTTAGTTGAAGCTCCATCATAATTTCCCATACACATCATGGGTATACTAGTATAATGTGTGTTCTGACAGACGATAACAAGTTGGGAAAACATACACTCTGCATGGTACAGGCAAGCACCCATTCCTGGTATATTACCTTTAAACATGGACAGCATCATTTAATTGTGAACTGCTTTAAAGTTATTATACCAACTTCCTTCCCCTTAAAGATTTTCTGTGTGTTTCTAAGAAATAGAACTTTGATTGCTTAGCAGGTAAAAATCATCAGTAGTTCAAACTGAAGGAGAAGCATAAATCCTTCAACTGTTACTCCGCCCACATCACCAAAACGGCTCCACCTGTACTCACTGGAGGCCACTTTGTTGTAGGGTCTGGGGACCCGGTGGTTTGGAATTCCCGAGTTCTGGGGGGAGTCCTTCTTCTGGTTCTGGGTGGGGGACCTATCACTGGGTGGAGGCCTACCAGGCGGGGGGGTGCCTCCATGCGGCCAGGGCGGATCTCTGAGTGATGGCGGGGGGGAGCTTATAGGAGGTTCCAGAGGCGGAGGCTGCTTGAACACTGGGGACTCTGTGCTGTGGGAGGGCTTCTCCAGCGGGGAATGTCTGCGTCAGGGAGGGGAAGTCCAAAGTTAGTTTTTTAAGCTGAACTTTTACCATCACTGGCAAACATTTTTACTAAAATCTACTTTTAAGAGTAAATGTTATCCCAATCATTTTCTGTAAGGTGGTGTGGAAGAATAAATACTTCAATGTTTGAATCTAAAGCTGAAAAAGCACCTGCCTGTCTAAAGACAATGAATACATGTCTGAAGCTTCCATGTTTCATAAAAACGGGGAGTTTTAAACAACATTTTAATAAAGAAAAAAACGTTATCACGCTGAACATTAGCCACCGTAATATGGTCGGTGTTGATGCGCAACCACGTGACCGCAGTGTTGAGTGTTTTGAGCTTTTTAGTTCTGGCAATTGTACTGTATGCTTCAAAAATCATAAATTGGTGTTAATATGATTGATATGATTATCCTGCTAAACTAAATGTGTAGGTATTGTAAACGTGTCTAACACAAATGTTATTTTCTGCAAAATTCCAAAACCCATTGCAGATACTCTATTGCTTCCTGTGAAGGAACTACAATAATGTCATCACTTCACTGCTCTATATTTCATATTTTAGTGGGAATGCTGATACATGCGACGCACAAAGTTCTTTCTTATTCCGCCGGGTTATTTTGGCCCTCTTCTGCTCCCACATTCCACATCGCAGAAACTCAGTTCAAACATCAAAACGTTCAGTTCGGTCGGGAATCGATGGCTATTACTTTTCTTATTCATAACTTTCATAATTCAAGAGATACATCCCATAATTCATCCATTTTTAACATGGAAGTCAATGGAGAAATTCTTCAGACTTGAACAATCTTCATGCGACTTCAACTCCTAACTGTTCCTTCATACTTTCACTCAGAAACCTCATTACAACTTTAAAATGTTACACATCTTTCTAACATTATTCGCGTAACACAACTTTTTAATCTGATACCTACTTTTAGAGATATTAAACATTGTTCATACCTTGGTAAAGAGGCCTTCTTCAGATTTTAGAGTGCGTGATGTCACAGCTAGAGTGGAGGACAGATTTAATTTTGCCTTCATATTTTCTTTTAAACCTGCCATAATTCCCAAACCCTACATTCCTGAGACATACTTTTTCATGAGAAACATAGGAAAACATCTCATAGCTTGAAAAAGCTAATATAAGCAAAATAATTAAACAAAATGCCTCTTGAGGGCATGAAGTGACAACAACTTTCAACATGTCTCCATTAAACCCCATTGTAAGTTCAGCCTCAATCTGCCAAAAAAGGCCACATTATTAACCCGAAAGTACACAAAAAGTAAACTTCAGATGCTCAAGTTCCTTGACATGCTTCACGCTTTGAAATTTCACCGATATCTGTTATGGTTCTTCAACAAAACGTTCACATGCAAGAGGTTTATCTCATTCAGAACAATAAAAATGCTCTCCTCTCACTGATCACCATGGAAACCTTTGATCTCTGGACACCTCCTCAATAAACACCTGTGTCATGGAACACAATGATGTCACAACTCCAACTGACATGCTCAGAGCAGCAGACTTCAGATAATGGTTAACACAGCTCTAAATCAAATCTGATTTTACGTCATAACTCCAACTGACATGCTCAGAGCAGCAGACTTCAGATAATGGTTAATGGTCCTGCCCTCAACAGCACTACATCAATTATGGGGTGTCATGCTGTTTCCATGGAAACCTCGCCATAAAAAACGATGTCGCTGTAACTCCAATGGACACGGTCCGGTCGTCCCCCAAACTTCACTTGTATATCACCGGTCCATGCCTCAACAGCTCTATGCCAAATATGAGATCTCACCATAGGCTGTTGCCATGGAAACGCATCCCTCGCCATAAAACACGATGTCGCTGTAGCTCCAATGGACACGGTCCGGTTGTCCCACAATCTTCACCTATATATCACTGGTCCATGCCTCAACAGCTCTACGTCAAATCTGACATCTCACCATATGCCGTTTCCATGGAAACGCATCCCTCGCAATAAAACACGATGTTGTTGTAACGCCTTTGAAAAGGGTCAAAACAGCACCAGACTTCAGATAATGGTTAACGGTCCAGGCCTCAACAGCTCTACGTCAATTATGGGGTGTTATATGCCGTTTCCATGGAAACACATCCCTCGCCATAAAAGACGATGTCGCTATAACTCCTATGAAAATGTTCAAAAAGTGCTCAAACTTCACATGTGTGCTAACAGTCCAGCCGTGAAGACATCTACGGGACAGTTTTGAGATTTCTTCAAATGCTGTTTCCATGGAAACACAATGCTCGCCATGAAACACGGTTTTCTCGTAACTTCAGTGAAAATACTCCAAACGGCCCAACACTTAACAGGTTTGGTAACGATGCAGCCATCAACACATCTAAGGGTATTATGGGATGTCATCAAATGCCGTTGGCATGGCAACAGATCATTCGCGATCAAGTTAGTTCTAAAGTTTGCAGTTCAAATATTCTGCTGCTTTTCCTATCCTTTTTACTTTCCTTTCTTCTCTCATCACACATTCAAGGCCCCAGTGTTCATGTATCATTTCAATCTAAATTCTTCACTTTCTTCTTAGACATTACATTTCAGCATAGCAGTTTAGCATCAGCTTTTCAGCACAAGCATTCCACTAGTTTTTAGGGACTGTACATCTGATATGCACCAGGGTTTTCAAGTGCGTTAAGCCTCATTGTTCTGTTGTTGTTGGATTAGTTTTAAGCAGTCCCAGTTCACCTACCAAACCCAGCTGATGCCTGTGTTACCATCAGTGATAACCTTGTGGATCCGTAGCTGACAGGTGGGAGTACTCTTGTCATACTGCAGTAGCTAAAGAGCTGGGCAAATATTTTAAACGTAACCCTCAGGCTTTGGGAGAGCTACAGTGTTTGCTGAGTGCCAGTGGGCAATGTCACTAGAAAAGAAAAACCTGAGCCCCTATTCCGACCAAATAGTTTTGAGAAAAAACCAGAGAAACTAAACTTATCTGAAAATACCTTTTGAGCATTTCCCATTTCAATCCTCTCTCACANTAAAAATTAAAAGGACCACACTATGATAAATATATTATTTAACATAAGCACCTCCAATCGTCAAACACAAGAACTTGACTATGAAGTTAAGTTACGTATCCTTTTTTTTTCTTCCGATAGCTAATCTAAGGTATTAGTGATGTCATGAGATGTGAATGAGGTTAGAATAATTGATTTAGGAAATGTGTCGTTTCTGTTTTTTTTTTCTACAGATTTTCCATTTTTATATCAATGGACTTGAGTTAAAAAAAAAACTCTATTGGACCAAAAGCTTATATCAAAAAAGCTTTTAGATTGTTTTGCATGTGCTTTATTTATTGACAGTTGGCATTTTCTCTAAATAAATAACATATTGGGCATTTAATGAAGCAATAGGGAACAGTTGACTATTTGCAAACACAGAGCTACAATAGTTTTTTTTTAGGGATTCATTTCTTCCTGCCTGGCAAATAAAAAAACACTGTTTACTTTGGTCTCCATAAACCCCAGAGAGAAATATCTATTTCTGCTGGCTTCCTAATGCTCCACCGTGTTTACCAGGTACTGTAGTTGAATACTGCGTCTGTTTGTTGATGGGAAGTTATGGCTGAAGTTAATATAGAAATATAGATTTGCTTTAAGAATACATTTAAAAAAGGAAATACCCGTTTATAGAATTGAACTGAACTAGAAGAGCTCTGCTCTGATCAAAACAGACGCTCAACTCTATATGAAAGACAGAATGGACTGAATCAGCTGTGATTAATTTCTTTCTTTTTGCTTCTTGATCTCTCGGGGGCTAATGGACACCTGCTTGAAGGAATGTCAACGATGAGCTGTGACTTCAATCAAGCAAATCTAATTGTATACAAGATGGTACGCACCATTACACAGAACAACAGCAACACGGCGGAGGGCAGCAGGGTGACAAAATGATTTACAGGATGGTGTAAACGTCATGTGTCAGCAAGTGGAAGCCTGAGTGAAGTGTCCTTGATCAGGATGTGACGGTGACTTCCCATAAACTGTAGTTGCTCTGTTGTGAATTTGAGCCCGACCTCTGAGCTCTGCCTGTAGGAAGGTGTCAATAAAGGTAAACAACGGTATGGCTATAGTTATTTAAAACAAGAATAGAAGAGGTTTTATGTGCTTACAGCGCCGGGCTCTTACTGACAAAACACCTACTGTCTGAATGTATTTCCTTTGGCGTGTTACTGTGTTGATGTGTAGGAACACATCAGGGAGCTTGGGGCTTTCTTTCAGAGCGACACACTATTCAAGCTCAGGTGCTTTTTCAGTTCTCTGTATTAGGAACAGCAAGAGGACCTTCCGCAGGCTGTATCCTAAATGTGGTTGCCCGTCAGCAACAGGAAATATTCAGTTTGGATTTAGCTGAACACATTGTTCTCTCGGCAGAGCACGTCCCACTTCAAATAGACATAAAGTGCTTGGGATTAAGACGTTTTAATTACTAATAATTATCTGTGTGTGACAGCGACATAGTTTGCTGTCAACTCCCCTGTATATAAGAGTTTGTGTCTGCGCATGCGGTTGTGGTTTATGCCATCTCCTTCTTCCAGATTTTCTCATTTAAACAGACATTTTCCTGTATACATGCATTTTATCACTCGTGGTTGTGCAGTCCTGCTTTATATGGCTGGCACATGACTAACCCATTAAAGACTTGTGGCTACCTCAGACCATACTGTGGTCACCTGGGAGCCCATACTCTGGAGGTTAACAGTCAATCCAGGCACAACAACTACTTCAACAAATAAATCATATTCACACCTCTATGTCTACGCCTGCACATACGGTGGGGATTATTCAGAATGAATAGTGCAGTGATTTAGAGAAGGAGAGGCATTCTAACACATCTGAACACACGTCACTACTCCATACCCCGCTTTCCATCTCACTATGATCACTTGCTCGGTATACATATGGTGGCCATCTGGCCTGGCAGAACAGAGCAGGAGCCCAGAGTGGGGCAGCACTACTGTGATCCATGTACAGTAACAACATAGTTAACCCTTTGGAGACATTATGGTGCACTGAAACAGTCTTATCTGATGATCTCTTGAACTGTGTTTTTCCAATACTACAAGTCAAGTCAACAATTGACTCTCGGCCATCAAAGTTGTGTTTGACTGCCCTTGTTTTCTGAGTACATTTAGGATTTGCCAGATCAAAGCTAGAATCTGCTGTCTTGGTATCTTATCTGTCTGCGAAACTCAATGCCAAAGTTCCTGCAGAGCTGCAGCATGTTTGGGGAAGTGCACTTCTCCCTCCAAAATAGATTTAAGTGCAGGGTAGGAGCTACATCGAGGTCAGAGTTACTGTCCCACTGCTCTAGTCAACCCTGAGACCAGTGTGGATATTTGGGTTGAATGGAAACAAAACATTTAAATGGGCATTTTCACTGTAGAATTACATCGAAAAAATGTTTTTCAAAACTCATAGTGTGATTTCAGTTGTAGAAAGTGTTGTACTCCTGGCACAACCTCCAGGTTAAAGAGGCCCTATTTTGCATTTTGGGGTTTTCCCTTTCCTTTAGTGTGTTATATAAGTTTGTGTGCATGTAGATGGTCTGCAAAGGCTAAAGTTCCCTCCAGTGGGAGTTTCTCTCCCTCACAGTCAAAAATGTGATCAGTCCCTGCCAGAAATCAGATACCAGCAATAGTTCCACATTTTGGGAAACATTATTGTCTTCCCTTAAACAATTTCTTTACATCTAGCCAAAATACTTCATGTTGTTACCCTTATGGATTGTGACCGTTTTGAAATTGTAATCGCTTCAACAAGAAAACATAAATGGAACTCTCCTGAGGAACGTTGTCCTATTTGCCATTACAGTAATAAAGTGTAGAGGTTGGATTGTGGATGTGGCTTTTTTCTGACAGTGTTTGTGGGATTTTTTTGGACCGTGCAGTGGATCTGTTCAGCGCGGCTGCGTATCACAGAGTATGACTAAGGTGCCTTCAGTGACATCTTAATGGGAGCCCTTGTACTCATTACTTCTTCTCCAGTGACAGTGCTGTGCCTGGAGCATTATTCTGCTCCTTCTCCACCGCGACACTGAATAGCTGCCATATGGCAAACGTGACTGGTCCACTTAAAGAGTAGCAGGTGCCTTATATAATCACTTGCTACTTTGAAACATAAGCTGCTGGGTCATGATTATGATGATTGCAAGTAAACATCTTGGTATACTGCGGTTTGAAACCTGAGACCATTACATTTCCACGGAGATTTGTGTTGCTGTGACAATCACAAGGAAGATAGTGACAATCATCATGCAAACCGGGAGAGAGAGGCCACAGTCGGTGGCATGTAAGAGCACTTGATATAAGGCAGACAGTGCCTTGCATTACGACGAGAGAGCCAGTGAGTCACCTTGCCTCAGTCCACCCTGAGAGCATTCAGCACTTCACTGTCAGCTGCTCCTGTAATTCCCCCGAAACTAAGGTTAAGGAGCTGGGTGGTTGAAGCTCAAGTGTACCAGCAAGGTGCTTTTATTCATGATTTTTCAGAGAAAGTATTTGGTCCAAGATGTTCTCATGCAGCCCTACATCACATGCTGGAAGCCGTGTGTGATTTCTCTTGCGGCTGGAACAGAAAATCAAGGAAAACCCTTGAAGAGCGCAGACCTCCGACCAGGCCAACTGCTTTATGCAATGTTGACGAAAATGACAAAATAATGTGTGTTTCCCCCAATGATTTGGATCGACTGTAAATGTTAGGTAGTTTTCCCTTGGCCTATGCTACACCCTTCTACCAAGTTCAGGAAATTCTGTAGAGTAGGATTTTTATCATGATCCTCTGTACAACCAACAAGCTTAACAGAAAACCTAACCCCTAGGTGGATAAATGAATAACAACCACAGTGCCAGAGTTAGAGTAAAATACACTTTTCTCCTGAAAATGATAGTGTCTGCACTGCAATATTCAGCCAAATCTCACCTGTGGGCTTTAGCTGCACATCAAAAGAGGCAGGTCACGAATCCTGTGGTCACGCTTTGAGCAGGCTATTTACTTTGGTATATAATTGTTTGGGAGGAAAGTGGGAGTGAGGAAGGTGCCAGAATAGCCCCCCTGCTGCTCTAAATGGTTTAAGATGGATTTCCTGGAGTTTGCACAACTGCTAGTCTAAGAGAGCCCATTTTGAGAAATAAAAGCAATAAAGGAGGTGTTTCAGAGTGATCCCTGCAGACACGTTCCTGCAGAAACAGAGAGAGAGGTCATTTACTTCCTAATTGACCTTGTTGGCTTGTCTGGGGCTTTTGCTGAAAATGGTAGCTGTTTAGGACACCTGACACTGGAGCAGCAGATGGTGACGCCTCCTGCTCTTTGTTCCAGATTCCTGCAGGTTGTCAGTATCTCTCTGAACAAAGATGTAGATGAGATGGTGCCACATGGCTTCTGCTGGTTTGTAAACAGCCCCTCGTCCAGATGCTTTTGCCGCACAGTTTTTATTACTTGTGTATGGCCGGGGAATGGCAATCTTAAAAGTGGAGTATAATCAGGACCATTCCTTTTATAATCATCACAAGGACTGTGGATTTAGTTACTAACTAACCACACTTTTTCTGTAAGGGAGGGTAGGTTCGAAAATGATTTGAGTATGGTGGGAGTGGGGGGGCTAAACAAAGATGTTTCTATTTTGGCATTATAAATACTGTTTACAGGTTTTGAGGAGTGGCATTCAATTTAATTTAATCACATTTGAACTGCATGATTAAGAAAAGTGATGCATACATGTTTGGAATACTCTTTAATATGCTAATATAATTATTATTATTTTACATAACTAGATAAACATTTTTGTATTGTGTATGTTGTGATTTATGTCAAACGTATCTCAGTTGTATTTAAACCAAGAGATATTACTGTCACTTGATATAGCAAATGTTTCTAACTTTAATTTCCAACACTCTCTCGCATGCTTTAACTGCTGTCATTGGGAACAAGTTAAATGAATGGCCCTTAAAAGAAGTAGGATGAATGGAGAATGTCACCTTTGCCACAAGCAGCATGTGCATTAAATTAGGAGCATGTTATGAAAAAGGAGCCATTAAAACCAAAGCTACTTTTTCCACAGTGATTAAAGGGCTAAGTACAGAGTCGCTGCTTTCTGCCAAAGCAGAGTTGACACCCTGCAAACGATAAGGAGGGTGCAGCACGAAGCTGCGGAGGAATGAGAAACTGTCAACAAAGTGAAATGGAGAGCAGTCTGCCTCGTCACCCTCAGAGCAAAAAAGACTTCTGAAAACACGGATTTTACACATTATTACCTTTGGGAAAGTCTGTGACAGGTGCAACTAGGAGGCATGATTACTATATTGTTTGGCCTCTTGTTTGTCTCACTCTTCACACAAATACACAACAATAAGAAAAATATATAAAGGGTGTGATGAGTTATCAACATTAAAGAGGATAAGCTGTGTTTTTATTCGCAACTCATCCTGTAAAGAATATTCACAAGTGAGTTAAGAATCGTCTCTTTTCAGACTGCAGTCTTGAGCTTTATTATGACATTAATGTGATGTAACTCTCTCTCCGCTCCAGGTGTGCTCAGCCTGCCTGAGGGTCTGACTCTTCACAGGGACCAGCAGCTGCAGCAGCGAGCGGGGAAGAGCGGAGATGGAAACGCCTACAGTCACTCTGAGCTGCGCTCCATCGAACAGTGTTTACTGGCTACAAGAGTGGGCAGCATCTCTGAACTCAGTGAGTTGTCTATGTGTGTATTTGTGTGTCAGTGTTAGACTGTAGAAGTCTGGATGGAGAAGTGAAGGGCCATCGTTGACCTATCTCTCAATAAGCAAGGTAGTCTACAGTATGTGCCCTCGAGCAATGCAAAAGACCCACCTTACAGAGACCTGTTTTAAAATTAGATTCAAAAGAATAGGTGTTGCTAGTACACTAATGATGGCTTTGTAGATGGCTTAACATAATGACCAAACCATATCATTCCAAACTCTCAGTCACAGGATTTCCCACAGACTTACATGGGGAAAGAGACCTCTGTAAATCAAGTTGAGATAAACCAAATACCCAGTATAAAAAAACGAAATATGTTTTTATTTTAATCAGTAGGTCCTGAAACTTGTAAGATTCCTCTATATCAGAGTAGAGAGTAATTTTCCTTAATTTTTGTGTGCCGCGGCAAACTTTATTGACTTCATGCGACTTAAAGCTACTTTCATAGGATGGAGCAGTGTCCCACCAACGCTGCACCCATTTCTCTTCATACATCTATGGCAAAAGCTGAATAAATGCAGCTAATTACAAATCAGCCATGATTATTTTATTTGTTGTATGTCATGTTACGTTGCATTATGTCTTCCTCCTGTCACAAGTCAGATTGTCTTCATTGAAAAAGGCAAATTAATCGCTCTAAATGTACTCGACTGGTCACCTCGTCACGGTCAGTTGATTTTAATATACAAGTGCTGTGCTTCCAACTTTGACGCAATACTATTTAAGACTATACTATTTATGCCCCAGTGCACAAACAAAGGTCCATAAAAAAATGATTTCCCACTTTTGGCATGGAGGAACTTGACTAGCCTCGTCCGACACCTTTGGGATGCATTTTAGCACTGACTGCTAGCCAGGCCTTATCAGCCAACACCACTACCCAAACTCACTAATAGGCTTTTTCACAGCCGTCACTTGTCACAGTAAGAAAAGCATAGGTGTTGCTAATAACATTAACAATGGCCCTGTTCTATTCAACAGTAAGTCATGACAGTGTGACAGGGAGTCAGCGTTCGAAATAGCAGGACTCTGAAACTGAAACGGCAAACTGGAACTCAGTTAACATTAATTATTCAGAAGTGTGCTTATCATACTGTGACCGGTCAAAATGTATTTCAGAAAAAAGGTCTGTACTGTATGTTCGCTTCTGGCTGAATGGGAACAAAGAACCCACAGCCAGGGTCTGCAAGCCTGTGGAAGCCTTTCCCAGAAGAGTGGAGGCTGTAATAGAAGCCTATTATTGTCCATGGTGTTGAATTGATATTTTCAGAGGTGTTATAGGGACCATGTTCTTTTGTTTATCTAGCATGCGTGAAAAGAGCACGTCAGGTAAGAACCATACCATTCAACCAAGTTGGTATTTAACTGACATTTCTTAACAGTTACTGAATGGATGAAGACAATATTTCGTCGAGATATTGTTTGTTTCCATAGGATGAATCCTAGAGAGTTGACATGTTGGCTATTTGAAAGGTAGCAATGACATTTAGAACGCATATGTCCCCCTGTGGGTGAAAATAATAACTTTGTTGACTCCACTTCCTTAAAACTAGCCCCACCTGACCTATATTTAAAAATGTTAATATTTAGATTTATAACCAAAATACTTGCAAACCTAGGATATGTTTTGCTTATACAGGGTTCCAGAATAATTGACCACACAGATCAGGATAGCGGAACCAATACAAAATAAATTAAAAAAATCTTTGTTCCATTCTAGTTTCAAATGTTTTCAACATTGGAGGTCAAAAATCAAACCATTCCACTGGATTATAAGTCATATTTTACTTTACAATAATTGGTGTCGTTTTTTCCACCTAGATTTCATTTTTAGTTAAGTTTAAAAGTGTTTTAAATAAGAAGTCTTAGATCTAACTTTAAGCTGTAGGGAGCCTATTATTGTGTGAAGTAACCTCTGTTAGCATCGGGACATGCTTAGGTAAAACTAGCATTTAGCGTTTTGTGCATATTTACACGAATGTTTATGCACTGTCAATGAGATCCATTTTAATAACCCAGAGCTATTTATTAAACATACTGTATGAGTTTGACAAGCCCTCCAAAAATTTATTGAATGTCTGTCCACTCACAATGTACTCATAACTCAAAGAATAATGGGCTTCTGCATGCTTTCTGAATACAAAGTCATTTACATATGGTTTAGTTTTATATGATAATACTAATAGGTTTTGAGATACTGATTATGTTTTTCCCTCTTGTCCTCCCTTCCCAACAAATTAAACAGTTTGACAAAGCAAGGATAGGCACACGTTCCTCATTAAATATTGTTTTCTGTTGTGGGGGAGACTTTCTGACAAACTCTCAAGGCCTCGATGTATCCGCATTGACAAGCTGCAAACCACTGAGGACACATCTTCCCTCTTTCGATATAATCATAGAATCGCGACTCTCATTGGAAGTGTTGAACAGTCTTGTTTCTTGGTTGCGTGCAACTCTGCGGCTCATTCCAGAAAACAAATCTGAGAGCGGTCCTCTGACAAAAGAATAACACATTTAGTCACATAAGGACAAGTTATCCCCCGATGCTAATGACAATATTTTTTTACAAAATAAATAAATCCACAAGCATAACAATGGTGAACGGGTCATAGAGTCTTTTTCTGTCGTCATGGCATCGGGATGTCAAGACAAGGCTGGAAAAACATTCGCTGTATATCTAGTTTAAACATTCATCCTCTGAATAAACAGAGAGCCAATTCTCCTTACTGTATGTTTTCTCAGGGACAAGGCAGGATGAGGGGGGGGGGGGCGCTCTGAGGCAAATCGCCTGTCCTCTGTCCGTGTTGTATTGATGAGGTCAAGCAAGCACTCATTCTCTTATGTTGACACTGCAAACACACTGTGAGACAACAGAGCCGCCGATGGTTAATAGCCGAGCTTAGTCCGGTGCTAATGTCACAGCTCTGGAGAGGAATTCTGTAAATAACTATAGGATTCGCAAACAGACGCACAGATCAAGCCCGGGATGAAGATGAATAATTGAGAAAAGCTGAAGAGCCTTATCGCCCTGACATATTGTGTATCTGAAAGAGAATTGAGATGGGGGAAAGAAAGGTATTACATTTGGGATGGTTAGAAAGAAATGCAGATTTTGGATATGATTTTCAAAAATATATTTAATGTGATACAAGAACGGTATAATTTGCATCCGATGCAGGGGACAGTCTATGCGCTGGCATTTAGAATCAATTTAAGAGGTTTGCTTCTGATTTACCTCTTTGTATTTATTTTTTTCCTCTTCCACCAAAATGCCAAATTAGCATATTTGAAATGACAGTCCTGCAAATGCTGCAATTATTAGGAAACTTGGTGTGTCATCGTCACTCAGCCTGCAGGACAAAATCCTGAGACAAATATGTTCCTCACAGCATTGTTTTTGTAACCCAATACCTTTTGAATCCCCCCCGATCTATTTTTAGGGGCAGTGGTTGGCGGATCATACAAAATTCATACAGGCTTACTCCATATATATATATATGTAAATCTATACTGCTCACAAACTGATACAACGTCAAACGGCAGTGACCTCCTTGTGCAGTTGAAATGTCCATTGGCTTAAACCCCACAACCAACAGCAACATAATGCTCTTAAGCCTCTTACTGTTTACATTAGGAAATATTCCTTTTCTTGCCAAGTATGAGATGAGTCTATCAATATCAATCTCATGTCTGTAAGATAAATAGCCCAGCTGTGTTCAAAAGGTAACAACATATATTGCGTCATATTTGAACATGAGAGTGGCATCACTCTTCTAATATGTTCTCTTTCACTTATTTACTTCTTGGCAAGAAAGGGGAAAAATGTGCCTTTCCTAAAATGTCAAATTACTAATGACCAAAAACACTTCCTTTTTTTAAACAATATGGAAGTCAGATTGAATCATTCATATATGACTAAAACATGGAAAACATATAATGTTAATTGGGCTTCCTGAACAACCAACAAACTGGGAGCGTTTAGATGTTGTAACACATATTGTGTCTAATCCCCAATTTTGCATTTCCATTTTCATTGCAAAAACGTACTGAGCTTTGCACACAAAGTGAAATGGAGTAAATGTATTTATTTGTTGTCTGTGAAACTTGTAATATTATTACATTAATGAACAATTGTTGCTTTAGTTTAGAATTGACTTTGTCACGTTCATTATGGGAATTAAACTTGTTCACAAATTTATTACCGTATTAAAAATTCATGTTTAGTCATTCCACAAAGGGTACTCTCTCATACAATCTAAGTTATTAATGCTGATTAAGAAAACACTCCTGAATATCGTTATTATTGTGCGCAGAGCCGAACAAATGTTACCACAGCAAAGAAATACATTTCGAGGTGGAAAGAAATCTTGTCTTTTCTCTTTGCCTCATCTGATTTTCAAAAACATGCAATTCGACTAAACTAAAGGGTTTTACATGATAAAATCAATATTCAATCAAAAAGGGAAATACACAGGGCAAATAACTATACTTTTTCAATGTCAACAATGAAGTATAAAGTGCACCCACGTGTGCACCACATCTCCCATTCTTGCTCTAATAAAGACTCCAGAGACCTCTGACAGCTAAAGGATCGTCAGTGATGTTGCTTTGAATGCCGTCCTTGTGCAAACTAAACCGTCCTGATTACTGCGGGGACGCTGTGTGCTTGTTCCTATCACAGATTGTAATGTTAGTCTCTACAGTCGTTAAAATATAAAGTCCTTCTGAAAGTTAAAGCAGCATGGGTAATGATGATAGACCCTCTTAGGGAGAGTTCCACTCAAGCTATATATTCCCTTAGCAATGTTTGATATTCAAAGAGAGCACGAGTTCTGTCGTTTTTGTCAAGCTGCTCCCTTTCTTCTACCTTTTCTTTCTCTCTATCGTTGTGAGTCTTGGCTTTTTAACAAATTCTGATGGAGCATCTCTGTAAAGATAGTGTTGGTGCCCTCCTTGTTATCTTATATGCGAGGTAATTAGGGTCTCTGGCTGCTTTAGAAATTGACAAAACTAATAGCGGGAAGAATGGCTTAGCATCTTGTCGAGTCAGGATGGCCACAGGCGACCATTAAATGCAATCATGGCCGCATAGCAGCAAATAAATGAAACACAGAAACTGTGATGATGGCAGCAGCTGCACAGTGCAGCCAAGAGCCATTCATCAATACACAAAGGAAAGCTAGTTACTGAATATTTATTTCCCTACATCATAAAGGCTTGAATATAATTGCTCCATCAGAATTGAGAACTTTCACCGCCTTTAATGCGGGTGTTCAATCAGTGCTAATGTCAATGGCAACAATCAATTCCTCAGTGTTGACCAAGACAGCTGAGTTTGCATCTGCGTATACTTACTGCATCAGTTACACCAGACAGCTACGAGTATTGATGCAAGGAGGACATCATATTTCAGAGCCAGGGGGTACCAATGCCGATGTATTGCTATGTCTCCAAACAAAAGGGCATTCATGACAAAATATGAGTTTTAAGGACTAAGAGGCCTTTTTCGGCTGACTCGGTGAACAAATATTTGGCCAAAGAAACGCGCTGGAAAGAGGTTGAGGTGGTAAGCAGGAGAGCTCCGATCTCTTGGTCAATATTGCAGGCACTTTATTGCTTCCATTCACATTTACCTTTAACACTGAATGAACATCCACTGAAAAGGAAGCAGATTTTCCCTTTTAAAATCTACATTTCCTAAGAGCATACTTATTTTCTGGCAGTTATGCATTAAACAGCCTTCACAGTCTCTGGCGTAATGAGCGGTTTGGTTGTTATGTGGGTGCTGCATTGCCGGCTACTGACCTTAAAGGTGCCAACTCTAATACAATTCCTTGTAAATCAAAGCAGTGCCATTAGGCACTGGAGACTGGCATATTTGTGTTATTTTGCTTTTCTAAGGAGATTCTAAAGCTTTGAAAACACAGAGAGCATTGCCCCGCTGCTTTAAGGTGATCAGTGAGATACCTGAGGAGCGGATATGCTGTGTGTCCTCCACCTCTCCTCTTCTTGTTAGTATCAACAATTAATTACCCTGGATGAGGTATTGATTAAAGGCTTGAATCTTATAGCGAAAAGGCTATTGGCGTGTTAGCTCATTAAACTGCTGTTCTTCTTTCAATCCTCTCTTTTGGCCAAAACAAAGAATCTTCAAGCCGTCACTGAAAACAATGAATCCATCTTTTTTGAGCAGATATTTCTGTGCACACCTGCTAAAAGAGCAGCAGTAATCTCACTTTAAGCTGCTGCTACTTCGCTACTCTTGCACTCTCTCTGTGTTAGGAATAATCTTCTTTTCACAGTCTCTGCCAGCCTCCTCTGAGAATATAGGAAATGTCACAGGGCAGCATAAATAAGACACGAGAATCGGCTGTTGCTGACCACCTCAGCTTCCCTTACCAAGCTTAAGAGGGCACTGTTACAAGCTGATCCTGTTGCTACAATTAAGAGGAAAGGCGCAGGATGACAGCGACAGAGTGAAGGTGCAGGGCTTTAGCTTAACATTTATACGCAAGGTAATCATTCCTGTCATATTTCCTTCTCATTGCGTCAGTAGATGTGGTCCAGCACAGCCCCCCTGTTCCCAAAGGAAGGCCGTGAGATTCACTGTTTTATTGCATGAATACTCTTCCCTCATTCAGGCATCCTTTTGACACTCTCCTCTCACATTGTCAAGGCTAAATGGAATCTTGGCAAGCGCCAAATAGCTCAATTTTGATGCCAAAGAAACCCTTTTGTCCATGTAAATGACAGTTTGCTCCGTCTGTGTATTGTATAGTCACACATACAGTATAGCTAATTTAGACCGGAGAACCATGTGCCGCCTTGCTCCATTACTTTTCCCATTGAATGCTATCAAATTGACCCGAACAATATGATACAGAGTGGGTTTCTCTAAGATTGAACCTGCTTCAGAATTTCATTACATTTTCTCACAGTGCAGTGGGTCTAGACAGGAAAGAGAGGCGACATACATCTGACAGCAGTCAGTGAAATGGGTTTTGAGTCCTTGCTGAAATAATACAGTGGTCACACTGTACCTCTCAATAAGTAAGGTGCCACAGTCATAATTGTCCTTAGAGTGAAGATGTTGGTCTCCTCGACTATCTATGTCTGTGAGAGCAACTTCAAATTCATCTCTCGTTTTTTTTTTGTGAAATGAGTTTTCTGCACTTAAAAGGCAGTCTGTTTTGTCCCTTGACAATAAAAAAGGGGTTGAACATGCTTTTCCAAGAACGGTTTACTTTCTCTTTAAAACCTGCCTAGAGAATATTCAAATGTTTATTAGCAGAGTCCTCTCAAGCTTTGATTTTTCTAGCCCAACTGGATGACCTTAAAGTACTGGCAAATTATGCAGGGGAAATAGCTTGGAGTAGCTAATGTTTGTCCATAAATATTCATTCTCCACACAGCGCAGTCCTGAGCATGCTTATCCTCTCCCCCAGTGAGCGGCACAGAAAGGACTGGGATGAACTCTTTCTCTTTTTCTGATGGGGTGCGGGGGAACTCTCGATTTCCCCTGACAGAGTGAGCTCTAAGGGGGCTGGAAGGAATGAAGATGGTTCCCTGATGTCTTTTTAAAGGCCAATTGCTCAAAATATTCTCCCTTTTTACACCCTTGTGCCTGAACATTAACTCCTTCTTCAGTACTTACTTGTGTTTCCCTGTATGATATGTGTGTGTATATTTGTGTGTTTGTATAGGTGACATAGTGTCCCGGGCCATGCACTACCTACAGCCGCTGTACATGAAGAACCCCAACAATGGGACGCCGATCCACCAGAAGAGCGGAGTGATCCACTGGGCGCCCGAGGCCATCTACACGCTGTGTTACTTCATGCACTGCCCTCAGATGGAGTGGGAGAACCCCAACGTTGAGCCTTCGAAGGTCACCTTACAGACAGAGAGGTGAGAAGGAAATCACTCAGCATCGAACTATGTATTATTCCATGACAGAAAATAGTCCCCATTAACTGTACCACTTACTGTTGTTTGGCCAATGTTTTTCTAAAACCTTTAGTGGCCAGCTGTTTTTTGATATTATAAAACATTTTTATAAGGAAATAGAAGGGTGTAATCCATTGTTAGTTATGTTAATGTGTTCTTAACAATAACACCAGCCATTACACCTCTTGATTCGACCAATATTGTTTAGAATGAATGGCTGAAAGCAACAAATACTCTAATGCTCACAAACTGAAATGAGTGTCATCACATTAATCATAAAATGTTCTTATCACACACAATTTCTATACAGAGTTGCTTCAAAGCAGCCATACGCAATATTTTTATACATTGAAAAAGTATCACATGACTATTTCCAGGTAAACCATTGTGTTTGAAAGGATGAACCCATAAATAATTGTTGCCTTAATCCTCATTTGTCTTCAGACCTACAGAGCATTTAGTGTCTTTTAGCTTTGTTTTGGTTCACTGCCATCAGACAAAGCAGTCAGCTGTTTTTAATAAATAAGCTTCCAAAAACCAACTGTACAGTACCTGTTCAGCACTAAAGAGACTAGCTGACAAACACAGTACAGAATTTAGCAGCTAATGATATCATTTTTTCTCCGAATTTCATTGAGTAATAGCTACAAAAATAATTAATGTTTAACTTACATTGATACCAGGCCGTTATTTAACAAAGAGTACTAACAACTGACAGAACTATATAACATGTATTCTCACTATAGAACCCAAAGCAAGCTAGAGAAAACATGTAACAGGAACACCTCATGAAGAAGAAATATAAAACAATATGCTCTTCAGTTATAGAATATGTTATATGTGCTGGAATTGGAAGAGAAATACATGTGTCAGTTGTTTAGTCTCTAGATGTTAACCTGCCATCATAATTAAGCCATGAAAAGTGATACATTTCTGAACCAGAGCAAGGCAAAGTAATGAAATCATCTGGTATTGATTAAAACATCAGAACCCTTCACCTCATTTTCTCCTGTGGGATTGTACCATTATTGTGCCTTTATTGTCTACTAGGACTTGATAAAAAAAACTGACCACAGGATAAAAACTCCCTTATTTCATCTACAATTTACACTCCTGCGTCACAGACACTATCCAGAGGTAATGTTCCTGCTCCTGTAACTGTAAACCTCTTCAGACTTTATTATATTTCTGGCTCTCTGTGCTAACCCCTGAAATGGCACACCAGATGTTTTCCTTTGGCAGGAAAGCACAGTTTTATCTCAGTGAATTGTCAACTTATTGGCTACTTTAGCGAGCCCTCTGGGTGACCTGAGCTGCGGCAGGAAGCGGCTGTTGAAGCCGGCGTCAGTATTTATAATTACCGTCAATGACATAGGGGGATATAATAGGACTGTGCTGGATGCTTATACATGAACAACATAAGGCTTAGGCTATGTTTCCATAGTGTTAATTCCCCTGATCCTTCATCATGCAGTTTTTTGACACTTCATAGTCAGGAAAGAGAACAGTCCTCACAATCCTTGTAGTTTCTCCTTATGAAATGCCTTTATTTTTCTTATTTTATTCATCACATCCTGCTGTAGTCCTCAGTATTTCCTGCAGTTTGGTGGAAACCCCTGTCAGCATGCGGCAGAGGTGGGAAACAGTACTGACAGTTGAGCCTGAGCAGTCCTCCTCTTGGGGCTCCAGGCTTTATCGCCTGCAGTGGAGCAAGTTATCAGCTATAATGTGTGTCCCAGGTCTGCTTTAGCTCTAATCACCATTTGTAGCAGAAATCACATTAATGAATGTTTGTTTTAGTTATATATAGGCACATTGCCAGAGCCAAGAAAGCCCTGAGAAGGGAAACAGCAAGACCTTGAACCATTTTTGATCTGCTGTTTTCCTATGAGGGAATGCGTTCCCTGCCTCTTGATTGGGTGTTGTGTACCGCTTTTAATGAATTCTGCACAGCCAATAAAGTCAAATGAGCTGTAGGTCAGGATCCTTTGAAGTAAGATTTCTTAGCAGATCCAACCATTATTACAGTAACAGATCCTCCTCGGAGCAGCATTGATCAGTGAGTAATTAACAGTGAGTGACAGATGTGGGCCGACCATGTGTCAAGGACAGTCCAGGCACCCCGACATCAAGACATCAAGCGATGTACTGGACAGCAAATCCCACAGGATAAATTAGCTAGGGTATTTATATGATTAAAACGATGCATTCTGCAAAAGAAAAAAACGATGAAACTGTCAGTTTTGACACGCCATGTGTAAATCCAATCTTTTAACTATGGGTTAAAACTTTCCTTAATTACAATCGTCAATAGCAACACCTGTTCCATCATAATACTTAACATCAGTGGTCGTGTTTTGCATTAATGACAGCTCATTGTTGACGTGAACAAAGTGTGTCTTTATAGCCATGGCATGCTGTCAGAACAGTATGAAGGTCTTAGTGTAACATCATGTATACAGTATGTATCCTCATGCATGCTGATGTAGCTGAAGTAAACACACTGACGCAGGATTAGTGGAGGAGAGAGGTAGATAGGAAGAGAAGTTCTTTCAAAAAAGTAGGACCTGCACGTTTCCCATTGAGATATTTTCTCTCAATGAGACTGTGGTTGGGTTTTCTCCGCATCACACCTTCTCAAGCTGCTCACTGTTAGCTCTGGGGTCAGGATCAACGGTGCGATTGTCAATTCCTGCCCTGTTTAATCCTTGCATCGCAGGGGTTTGCAAAACACACCCTTACTTCTATAAGCAGATACTGAGCTGTCATAAATTCTGTATGTTCACATGCATAACCATGCTCTGTTTACAGAGAGCAGCACGATGTTCGCCATTACAACGTCATGCCAAACAGATTAAGAGGGGAGCAATTACTCCCCCTGTAAAGTGTTCACATGACACTTGTAATTTCTTATGATTGCTACAACATCACAAGGCATTTTAAGTCATATAGAAATGCATTATACATATTCTGAAATGCATAAGTGGAGTTCTATAGCATATTTAGTTTAACACTAGCTAAGCATTTCAAACATGATCACAGTATTATATCATTGCAGTGTCAAGCTTCAGATCTCTAGAATAGAGCAGAATAGATTGTGAAGAGATATAGTTTGGACCAATCTCTGTAGTTGACACTGACTGTATAAAACAGAATTTGTATTTGAATATATGATCTTGCATCAAAGTGTTTCTGCATGACATATCAGTTTGGGGCATTTGATTTCATCTTCTAGACATCCTGTTTTCAAACATCAGCTACAGCTAGCAAGATCACTAAAATTACATATGCACATTTCTATAAACTGGATTTTCCTAGCAAGTTCCTTCCTTTCAAGTACTGGGTTTGCCTTAAGTCCAGTGTGGTCATGATCATGTGCCTCCATCCCCCCCTACAGGCCGTTCTTGGTGCTGCCGCCCCTGATGGAGTGGGTGCGCGTGGCAGCGGTTCACACGGAGCACAGACGCAGCTTCTCTGTGGACAGCGACGATGTTCGGCAGGCTGCCCGCCTCCTGCTGCCCGGAGTGGACTGTGAGCCGCGCCAACTCCGGTACGGCGCTGAAAAAACACTTTCTTCCCCCACACATAAAAAACACAAGCAAGCACATTATCTGGACTTGCAAACTCACACATCAGTCATATGCGCATCCTCCCTGTAGTGTTTAAAAATAAAGCCTTTCAGGTGGAAAATATGGTGCACTGTAAGCGAACACTGTGAATCACTTGGTGTACTTTGCCCTTCAGAACGGATGACTGCTTCTGTGCCTCGAGGAAACTGGACGCTGCCTCTACTGAAGCGAAGTTCCTGCAGGATTTGGGCTTCCGTATGCTCAGCTGTGGACGCACAGACTTGGTGAAGCAGGCTGTCAACTTGCTGGGGCCTGATGGTATCAACAGCATGAGTGAGCAGGTCAGAGACAACATATTAAATAATGCATGCTCATTTGTACTGATGCACACACACACACACACACACACACACACACACACACACACACACACACACACACACACACACACACACACACACACACACACACACACACACACACACAGCCTGTGGATCAGAGCATTTTGTTTGCATGGCTTCTTCATCTTAACATTTTCTGCACAAATGCAGTCATGAATATTAAACCTCACTCTGACAGCATTTTCCCGCAGCCTTCCTGCCAAGGAGCTCTGCATTACATCAAGACCTGCCCCACCAGAGTATAAAGTTTGGTTCGGCACCTTTCTGTGCTGTAAACCCTGGCCCAGAGGAGATATTGATACAGTATAGTGTCTTTTAAAACAATCCATAGAAAAAGATTACACTCATAAGACTCAAGGTGCCTGGAGTGGAACTGTCAAAGATACAAGTTAATAGCAAAGTTTTAGTGGTGCTTTGTACATACTTTAGGTAAAATCGCTTTAAAGGGGACTTTGCTATTCGTCAACCTGGACCATATTTTCCCTTCTTTGTGTCTGAGTGACTAATGTTGACACCATGTTCTTAATTGGTTCAGTATTGAGCGACAACGCTGCAGCTTCTTAACAGGCTGCAATGTAATACTAGCCATTCCACATCTTCAATATGAGTTCACTAAAATAGCTAGATTGTTATTATCAGTGAATGAAAACATTATTGAAAGAACCCTTTATTCTTTACCATTTGCTTGATCCAGACTGTTTTCTTGATCCGGTACTCATTTATTTTAACTTTACATTAGGTTGAAATATCTAAATCATACAAAGTCCAATGTGGGCACATGCAATTGTTTGAACAATGTCTTTATGTACTATTTATAACATCTATATCTATTACCTATTACATCTGTATTTATTTATATATATCTAAACCCTGCACTTTATATTTGTTCTGTTGTGTAAGTTGATTGAAAACGAATGCACTTTTTTCCTCTTTGTACCTTCTGGTTGGATGCAAACTGTATTTCGCTGTGCTCGGTGCAATGACAATAAAGTTGAATCTAATCTAATCTGATGCCACTACCTGGGATATGATTATGCCAATTGGTGTTTCAAAATAAAACTTTTCAAACAATGTGATTTCCCTTGCTCTCTGTACCTGTGCTTGTGTAGGGGATGACCCCGCTGATGTACGCTTGTGTCCGTGGAGACGAGGCCATGGTGCAGATGCTGCTGGATGCGGGGGCTGATATTAACAGCGAGGTCAGTGCTGATTACATTTGTAATGCTTTTCTGGTTTTCCACATAGGGTAGATCAAAGTCAAATGAAGGAATGATTATCATTAAGAGTACATATTGCCCTCTAAGTTTCTAGTTTTTGATTAACCCAGTGTTTTTGAGATGTCATTTTAGTGGGAGACATCAGCAATGCTTAAATTGAGGACGTTACAACTTTGGAAATCTTCATAATGTACCGTTATATGTTTGTGTTAGTTCTTAAGTGATTGTTTGTGAATACTGTATGTGTTGTATTGAATTGGAGAAAGCGATCATGTTGTCCTTCATCTCCCCTTGTTTGTTCTCCCTCATGTGTCATGCTGCTAAACATACAAGAGCTGTAGATCATGAGGCAATAACTGCTCTGCCACAATAGAGAATATGTTGAAAACAGATTTAATATTACTTGTGATATGAAACTCATTTGCATTTGAGTGTGTGTAGCGTTAAACATGACACAGTCACAGTCAGGGAAAAAAAGTGATAAAGATCGGCTTACTTAAAGTCAACTGAAGTCTGCGGAGAATTTCGATGACATCTTTTGAATGTGCCGACTTCAGAGAGGAGTTCAGTTCAGGCCTCATGATCCTGGTTTTCCTTAGTCACCAACAACATGTCCCATCAGGCATTGTGTCAGTTGATTTGCAGTCCACTGCATTCCTGACCTCTGGCCAAAGCACAAAGCACACGGTCTGCTGAAATAAAAAGACTCGCTTTCAAAATCTTTATAAGCATCTGGTTTTGAACCTGGTTACATTTTGAAAGTTAAAGACAGATGTTGGCTCAGATGTGTGCAAAGTGCAAACATGTTTCTTTCAACAGCTAGGCAGCCTTGAAAGGATTTATGTTCTTTAAATTATCTTAAAGTGTAACACATTGGTAACCCTACATAAAGCAACTTGCTGTTCATCGTGTCATTTTATGAATTTAGTACAAATGTTTACAGTAAGGAATCACAATGTATACAATGTCTTGTAAATACAGGGCACAGTAGTGAAAATAATATCTTAAGTTTAGGGGAAATTAAGTTAAAACACTGATATCCTGAATTTGCCTATAAAGTAATTTTGGGTTATTCAATTTCAGAATTACTAAATGCTAATATAAACAGGTGCAGTACCATCTGCCTTGTCTTCTTAAAATGAGATTCATGCTTATGAAATATCTCTCAAAACTGAAATGGAAGGGTTATTGAAAAATATATAAAATATATGCTTTAGGAATTAAGGCACCATAGTTTTGTTATATCAAAATTGAAGGAGGGTGGTACAAATGGCTTAAAGTACATTTATGAAGCACAGCAACTTAACTATAAGTAAACGTTAGCCTACTGAAAAATAATACAAGATTATGATTTTAAAACAAACAACGTAGTTTGTGGAATTTTTTATGTTGTATTGCAGATGAAAAAACTTAAATGTTTTGTCTTCATTATTGTCTCATTTCATGTCACTCCTGCAAAAATTGCATTAAGAAAAAATTCCTTTTGTGCTTCACTAATGTTTTTCATAGTTGTCATGCTTTCATTTGGCTTATAGTTACTACTTTCACACTGACCAGAGAGATGATCCTCAGAGAGGTACGGTCAGTTCCCTATCAGAAATGTGCGCTAGAAAAAGAGTGAAACTATTATTACCAGGAGTAATCAGACAGATCAATCAATCGTGTTCATTAGGAGGCGAACAAAGGAGACAAGATGTCCCCTGCAGCCCCGGGGTTTCTCATTAATTACTGTAGTTTCTCCCGTAGCGCTTCCTGCCGCCCCCCGCCCCCCTTCCCTGCTGCTTGTCTTATGCTCCGTAGGCCATGTAGAAGTTTTAATGACTTCGTATCTCTCTCCCCCACCTTTCTCACTCCTACCTTACCCAACCCACCTACCCGTGTCCCTTCCCCAGGTGCCAAACTCAGTGCACAAGCATCCCTCAGTCTTTCCCGAAACGCGGCAGGCGACGCCCCTCACTTTCGCTGTGTTACACGGACATGTGCCCGTGGTGCAGGTAGTGACGTCCTTCCTCACCTGTGATTCTCTCATCATGACCTCTCGTTGTGCTTCAGCTCATGGTTGGTCATCGTTGTCATTTTTTTCATCAAATCTTTTGGTGGTGATGATGATAATGGTTCTCCGCTACGAGTTTTCTCCTGTCTTTCTTTTGTTTCCATTTGGTTCTGTTTGTGTGATGTACAAATTGACCTTATCATCTGGAATGAGGGCATTTATCCAGTCAATGTTTGGGTCTGAACAAATGCGTCCTGTTAATTTCCCATTTTTGTGCAAATGGATTGCATTTAGCAAGTGGAAAGTGGAAACACAGCCGTCTAAATTGTTATCAACCACATTTAACTAATTCAGTTTGTCCTCTAAATGATCCATCTGGATTCTGAATCATCCAAATAGAAAAAAACGTTTAAGCTTTGTGGCACTACAATTTCATATCTGAGGACATCAGCTTAAAATAAAGAATGACATTAATAATATTAAATTCTGTGTAAACCATGTGTATTGTTATTAAATATTATATTTAGTTGTCTGTATGGTAAATATGAAGTTGTAGCTTGTTAGCATAGCGTAAATGTAGCATACAGACAGGAAACATTACATTACATTGCATTTAGCTGACGCCGGAAACAGGGGGTAATGGATAGCTTGTGCCTGTCCAAAGGTAAAGAAGTGTGCCTACCAGAACCTCTAAAGCTCAGCAATTAACATATTATATCTTGTTTGTTTAATCCCTTAAAAAGTACTTAATCTAAAAGCAACTTTTAAGGCTGGCTGCCAGCTATCTTAAAAATTAGGCTTCTGTGAAGATGTGAGAGTGATAGCAGTTGTCTGACACTCAGCAAGAAAGCAAATATTCTTCTTCATTTCAACAGAGGAAGCATGCACATTTTTAGTATTTGACAGTAACAGTTTAAATTATTTGTTAAAAATTGAAGGCTGGCTGTAAATTAAATATCAACTATTTTCTAAACACATTATTTTGCATGACACAGTCACCAGATGAGAGAAGCCTGACTTAAAATCAATCTCATTATAGCCAACTGACTTTCCCTCTGCTCCCCATCCCTCCTCTCTCCTGTACCTGTGTCTCCCCTCTGTACCCTGCCGTGCCCCCACCTGGCCTCTGCAGCTGCTGCTGGATGCCAAAGCCAGTGTGGAGGGGTCCCTGCAGGACGGCATGGAGAACTACACAGAGACCCCGCTGCAGCTGGCTGCTGCTGCAGGTACAGACACAGTGTGATTCCTGTCCCCTGCCTCCTGTCCAACTGTATTGTAGCAAGCTGACAACACCAGCTGGCCACTTATACTCAGCTGTCTGATAACAACACCTGCCTGTCAGCCTTACCACTTCAGAGGCACATGTATCCTGGGGGCTAGAGAAATAAAGACAAATACAGGCATGCGAGACATGTTTGCCTCACTTTCATTTCACTGGTTTCATTGTACTGTTTGTGTGTGAGCTCTGCCAATCTTTTTTGTCATTCTCAGGTAACTTTGAGCTTGTGAGTTTGCTGCTTGAGCGGGGGGCGGACCCCATGGTGGGAACCATGTACCGCAATGGCATCTCCACCGCGCCGCAGGGAGACTTGAACTCCTACAGTCTGGCAGCTGCCCATGGACACAGGTGGGCAACACACGCACACACAAACACACACACAAACACATTAATGTTCCATCATGAATACACACTTCCGAGTGAATAAACAGAGGATATTCAAGAACACCGAACTGTATTCGGCATATAATCTTGTTTATGCTCAAAAACACAATCTCACCAGAGCATGTTCGGGACTAACAAACAGAACAACCATCTTGAATGACTGACACTTTTGATCTGAATAACAGTATGGTCTCAATGTGCCATAATATACAGTGCTAAGACTAAACATTTACATATTTTTAAATAAAAGAACTTCCACTGCTTTGTCATATTCACATTCAACATGTTGCACAGACCTCTGCCTGTGTCAAGTCCAACATGTTAGTTTTCTACTTTATGTTAATATTTATAAGCATGTTTGCTTAACAGTATTAAGTGATGCTTTGTTGCACAGTGATTTAATTCACACAGGTTTTTAATGTGTTCTTGTTCAGCTTAACTGCAATGCACTTCTCTCTGCGTTATGCTAGCAATTAATTATTATTAATTGAAAGTGTAGCGACTAATGTTTTTTCCTAAATTACTAATGAAATATTTGTATCTATATATATTTTAACATTCTGTATTTCTTTAATGCAGCTGACCTATAAAATAGAGCCTTACCTAATTTTTCCCATGAGTTTTTTTTACAAGTTTTCATAACATCTTTTACACATTACCAGTGTATTTAACTCTATTTGGCAGCAATTCACATGCTACAAGGGTTGGGCTGCTATACTGTATATTATGAAGTGACAGTCATCAAATCAAAGAACGGGCCTTTTTAAGATGGATATGTGCCTGCTTGCATAAAATGCCTTTTGCCCCATGGATTTTGAGTCTATTAATTTGCACTAAGCATCTTTTTATCCAGCCATACATGTTAATTAAAACTGAGCTATATGAAGCAATAACAATCATAGCTGAGGCAGATAATTATAGATTGCCGTAGCAAGTCCGTAATGACCATAACTCAGTGACTGTCACATCATTTTTATTATAAGTTTGCATAATTATACAAATGCACCTTTTTGCCACTTGTGTTTGTATTGGCCTGGAGACTTGTGATATAAAAAGCAATTCAAAATAGTCCTATAATCTGTAAGGATAAATACATTAAATTCGTTTTTTGTGCTTTTGTCCTTCTAGAAATGTGTTTCGTAAGCTGCTGTCTCATACAGAGAAAGGGAAAGGGGACGTCTTATCCCTGGAAGAGATCCTGGCAGAGGGTTCGGAGCTGGAAGCTAAAAGTCCGTCTCACATTGACCTGATCCGAACTGGGAAGGCCAAACTCAAAGCCCTGAAAGAAGCCATGTACCACAGTTCAGAACATGGGCATGTAGACATCACCATAGATATACGGAGCCTCGGTTAGTGTCTGCAAACACTCTTTAAAACAAGCATTCTTTTTTACATAATCATATTCTGTATGCAACATTTATACCTTGTTTTTGCATATTTGTGTGTGAATTTGGTTTTGTTTCACATGTGTTGACCCCTTTAATTCATTCCCAGGGGTTCCATGGACTTTACACACTTGGATGGAGTCTCTGCGAACGTGTTTCCATCAGCAACGCCGACCTTTGATCCAAGGTCTCCTCAAAGAGTTCAGCTGCATCGAGGAAGAGGAGTACACTGAGGAGCTCATCACGCATGGCTTGCCACTCATGTTCCAGATCCTCAGAGCCAGCAAGGTAGATTGCAATGCTGCTAATAACTTTGGCGTCATCCACCAAGCCTTCTTTTCAGATCTTGTTTCCAGAGACGGGCCTTAAAAGGGTCTACAACAGATTAACGGCATATTAGATAAGAAGCTGTTTTCTAATAATGATGAAAATGAGTGTCCTTTGAAATTGAAAGCAGGTGCACATTGATAGTAGTAGCAGGTAAATGCCCAGCCAATACCCATTATAGTGAATAAGACTACTAAACAATGAAATAAAAGTTTAGAGGATTAAGCCAAACAAATACTACTAAATATATAGATATAAAATAAGCACCAAAGAAGATCCACGTGATACTTTTACGCATTTATTCTTGTTTATTTTCTTAAAAATACCATTGTTTTGTAAAATAATGAAATGACTTCTTCAAAAATATATAGAAATCCCAAAAAGAAAATGGTTATGTCAGAATCTTCATTAGAGAGGAGTTTCTTAGAGAGCGCCTTATTGAAGCCCATTGTTTCCTCAAAAGCTACATTTTGATCCTTTAAATGTCTTATTTTATGAATCTAACCTTTCAAACATTATCTCTCTTGCTGAGTTAATGTCTTTTTGTGTAAGACAGTCAGGTCTTCAGCTTCACAGAGAATGACAGATCTCCGGAGGCTTCCTCAATATCAATAACCCAGAATGATAATGATTTATGACATGCCTCCTCGCTCCTCTCCGTTCCTTCTCATTAGATCAGGGCCCTGTCTCATTACCTAAGCTCATGATCCCCTTAGTGGGCCGTATTAGATTTAAAACAGCACATCATCCGGGCTGTCACCTCTGTTTGTCTTGCTTCCTTTGCCTTGTCGTAGTTCTGCCCAACTGACGTCATTGCTGATATAATAAAAAAAGACTGCAATACACACACACACACACACACACACACACACACACACACACACACACACACACACACACACACACACACACACACAAGCACTTATATAAATAAAATACACAAGCAAACCTGCAGAGACTTGCGACGTGTGCAACCCATGCCCGCAGTATTTCAAACACACACACACACACACACACACACACACACACACACACACACACACACACTCATACACTCATCCTAGCCTTCAGTGGATTGTTGCAGCGTCAGTCCTTGTCTCTGTCTTGGTTGATGAATGGGGGGACCAGTGACCCTGATCTCTATGAGGGGCCTCAGGGAACCCCGTCACTGTTTGCTCCACCATGAGGGCCTGAGACACGTAGGGTCTGTTCATATTTCATTGTCTGTTGGTTTTAGCTCAATGAAACCTCCATTCAACAATTTAGTTAAATATAGCAGGTTATATGATATATATATATATATATATATCAAATATTATGCAATTTGCTTTTGAAACTGCTGTCATAAAGGTGGACAATAAAGGTTCACGTGATTTGTTTCTGAATAGATTCGTCATTTATTATAAGATTAGGTAGTCAACACCTTTGCTAATACGACAAACATCAAGAAAGTGCCACACAGGACATAGTAAGCACATTTTCTTTACAATTTCTACAGCAAGGAGGTCCAGTATGTCATCTGTCTTTCAGCCTTTTATCTCCCAAAGCTTTCGCCAACAAGCTTACATTGTAAACAATCAGACTCCCCCGGTGCCCCGAGCTCCGAGTCCTGGCAGCCAGCTAACTTAGCTAACAGCTAACTTAGCTGACGGCAGCAGTTAGAGCTTAGCGTGACATAAACAACAAGTAATTGCTTTCTGTCAATCAGGACACCAAAGATAATCAAGACAGAGCAGCTCGACATCAGAAGAAAATATGTTTTCCTTAAAATATGATTCAGTTTCAATACACATATTGATTTAGTTGTTTTTGTTTGAGTAATAGTGCCTTAAAGCCTTATGCATTTACAGGAGATCAAACCCCTCACCAAAGTTACACATCTATTCTAATAATAGATGTGGATCTATACATTTTGTGCATTGCGAGTAAATGTTTGAAAAAATTCAGTGCATTTTTGTCCCTGGTGGAACGGTTGGTTGTTAATAGCTGTTTGTTGGCGTCATGCTTCAGTGAGAGCAAGCAGCCTGACTGCACAGTGTGCACACGTGGGGCTTGTAGTGTCGCGCACCGCTGATGCAGCTGAATGGCACTGCCCCCCCTTCTCCTTTAGTTTGAGCTCCCCACATACAAGAGGAAAGTTAGCTGTAAGTGGAAGAAGATCTCACTCCCCTGTCTTTCTCTTTCTCACACTCCTACAGTAGCTCTGCCTCTGATGGTGTTCCCCCTTACAGTAATCTCTCAGGAATTGTGGGTGTGAAATATTCATCTGATCCCCTTTCAAAGGTGTGAGGTAGCCCCGAGTATTTGGCCCATTGGGACCATTGCTTGAATAAGGTGAATGCTGAGCGTGATACAAGGCTACAGAAGTTATTCCTCCCTCCCTGTGCTGATAATTGTGTTGAGGATGTTTGTGTAGGAGAGGAGCACTAAAGTTAGTACTTGTGTGTTGTTATATAACATGAACTCCTGGATATTGGCTGAGCAACGCCCACTCAAGCAGCTCTCCTCCTCACCTGCTGATGTTTTGTTTCTCTGTCTGTGTGTTGTCAGAATGAGGTGATCAGCCAGCAGCTGTCTGCAATCTTCACCCAGTGTTACGGCCCTTACCCCATCCCCAAACTAGCAGAGATCAAGAGGAAGCAGACGTCACGCCTGGGTGAGGGCCAGCCTTTTCCATTCCACTTCTGTCATTGTGAAATCTATACTGTTTAACAATGCAAAGAATACAGCATTCAAACAGCACATGAGCACTTCTTTGATGTATTTGTGTTGAATTGCCTGTTGGAGTTAATGCAGGAAAATGGGAAGAGCACGTAATGCCATCTAGTGTTCAGGAACTAGAATAAAAAAGTGGCTAAAATGTGTCTAGAACTGCCAAGAAGGCTTAGTTGTACACCCCATTTCTTTCTTTTTTTTTTAATAATCAGAAAAGCATTCTGTTTTTCTGGCCACTTGGGTTTCAGATCCTCAATTCCTGAACAATAAAGAGATGTCAGATGTGACCTTTTTGGTGGAGGGGAAGCCTTTCTACGCCCACAAAGTCCTGCTCTTCACAGCTTCCGGCAGGTACAGTCACTTTGGATTCAGCTTTCAAATGCCCAAGTAGTCTTCCATTTCTATAAAAGCTCTGAATATGTAACTGTAAGTTCTGATATGAAAAGATAAATGTATTCATACAGCAATGACCTAACACATGCTGTGTTGATTTGTGGTTGTCAGTACTGTGCATTTCTTCCTGCTGGTCCATAAACTCATTTGTCTTCCTGCCCTGGGGATCCTGACAGGACTTCCATTTCACACTCATGTCATGTTATTTTGATGACAGTCAGTCCTGTCATCAATGGACTGTAGATCTGTCACTCATGTTGACTAAATGTCCCCAGAGAAAAAAATAACTAATTGAAACCAACCCATTACTGAACAGTAGTTCAAGGTTTATTTTTGCTCACCTTATGCTACAAGCTACTATTAAGATGTATAAACATTTACCAAGTGTGAATAAAACACCAAATACTTGACTGTCTTTTTTTCTCTCAAGGTTTAAAACTCTTCTTGCAAACAGACCTTGCGGTGAAAACACATGCATAGAAATCAGCAATGTGAAATATCACATTTTTATGGTAAACTTTTAAATCACCCTTGCACTTCACATTCACACTGCTTCCTTCATAAATTCCTACTCTATTCATCCTTGTATGAAAGCTTCAATATGTTTCCTTCTTTCAGCTGGTGATGCAGTATCTCTACTGCGGGGGGGCCGACGCTCTGCACATCAGGAACACTGACATCATGGAGGTTAGGCTTGTTAGCACAGCGTTCACTGCAAAACTGTAGAATGTACTTTAATGTTACACTAAAAACCTTTGTACTGTGAATTTAGATTAATAATAATAATAATAATAATAATAATAATGAATAAGATGTAGGTCTCAGGTACCTATTACCTTACCTATTGATGTTGCACTGTTCAAAAAGCACAGTAGTATCCATGATCAAATTGGACGCTAAACTTGATGAGTTGATTGTGCTTTTTATTTTTCAGCTTCTGTCTGCAGCCAAGTTCTTCCAGCTTGAGGCTCTGCAGCGGCACTGTGAGATCATCTGCACCAAGAACATCAACACTGAAACCTGTGTGGAGATCTACAACCACACCAAGGTGCAAAAACTGAATAGGATGAAAACACAAGCTGTGTTGTAAAACACGTTTGAGAGATGGTTGTTCCCTGTTGGGTTGTATGAGGTACTTACTGTGTCTATAGTGTGTGTATTACAGCGGATGAACTGCTCCTGAAGAGGCAGCGGCAATATATTTTTTAGCTAAAAGAAAACAATATCAGTTTAAGTACGCTATATTTAGAATATTTTCCCCGCTGTGAGACAGCTCGTTCCAACAGGGAAGTGAAGCCTTTATATCTTTATAGTATGCTCTCTTCAAAGCCGTCAAACTCAATTGACAAAAAAACAATAACTTTACTTTGCAGAATCGCGGGGTTGCTGGTCTGCCGCTGCCATCATTGGTAAGTTTGTGTTATAAGTTTGTGTTATTCTGTAACTTTGTTGAGTCTGGACTAACCACAATAACACAAACTAACTAACAGCAGTAGACCAGCAACCCCGCGTTTCGACAAGGTGAAGTGATTGTATTTGTCAATGGAGTTTGGTCGCCCTGAGGAGAGCATGGATAACAGCTTCGGAAAGAACTGTGAGGAAAAGCAATCTACATCTTCCAAATGCATTGTAAACTTAAATTGCTATAGATTTTTGAAGATAAAAAAAACATTATTTGCTGCTGCCCCCATCCATCGCTGTAAATGTTTTGTGCTGTGACTACTGTCTGCTGCTTCAAGCTAGGGGAGTGCTGGTAATACGCTGATTTAAATATCTCATACAACCCCACTTCTGTTTATCTCTCTAAGGTGTTATAGATGTCCACTAATGGAACTATTGTTACTTTGTTCACAGTTTCTTGGTGCTCCAGACTTGGCGTCCTATATAGAGGGCTACTTCCTAAAGAACATGTTAATCCTGATCGAGTTGGAGCCATTCAAACAGCTGCTGTACGACACGCCTCCAGATAGCCCCGGCTCTGACATCCTGCAGGATCTGGAGAAAACCCTGGCCATCCGCATCCAGTCCATCCACCTGTCCTCCTCCAAGGGATCCATCGTCTGATCTCCTTCTGAACACAGGACCAGAGAATATTTAGCAGAGACATGACACTGTATTGACATGATAGAAAAAGATAAGACATTTATCTCTGTGAAGCTCATCAGTTGCTAATAAGCTTTTGTTATCATTACACAGATAGTCTGTCTGTCTGCCTTGTTGATATCTATCAGCTAGTATTGAAGTAACATACAATGACTGTCATAAGATAGCTGCCACAGTTTGCCAATAACATCACATCACTGTAACAATGTCCCTCATACAGCTAAGTAGAACAGTCTGTGTGTTACATGTTTAACTAAATGGATCAGGTGGTACTACGGGAACACAGAGGGAGAGCAACAATCAGCATCAAAATACAATGTTGAGATGATGAACAACCTCAGCGTAATGTGATAAGCCATCAGTGTATACCTTCCTGGCTCTGTGAGGAAGAACTGCTGTGAATACTTGCTTAAACTTCTGGACTTGTACAGAGTAATTATTTGTATATTTGTCAGTCACTTTGCATTATCTGTGCTGATTAGTCCTTAAAGACAAACAACTGACAAGAACCTGTAATGTGACAGATACAAAGAGGGACTTTCACCACGTGACTTTGGACAACATGAGTGGGAAAGAGGACTTCCCCTGTGTAAATATTGTTCATAAGAAACAGAGCTATTGATAATGTAACTTAATGTATATATATATGTCCACGGATGTTTTCTCATGTGTCTTACTGTTGGATATCGCTGTAAAAACAAGAAGCTCATCTTTTAAATATCTATGTTTAAATGTTGCATGTCAGAGGGATGACTGTGTTTCGTTCTTTTCTGTTTTGAGTATGACTTTGAAGAGCTGTTCCACGCCTAAACGACTGAAAGTAGAGTGAGGATATTTTTGTCATCAGCATGGGTCACTAAATGTTATGGTCACATGGTGTCGTCATTTCTTTGTGTGAGAGGCTCCAGGCCTGTCTAGTCCTGAACTGGGAACATTGTTTTTCAGGGATTGTGAAATCACATGGCTTGTATACTGTGTGTGTGACTTGATATATCTTTCCTCTATAAAGATTAATATAAAGGATACTATGAATCTGCTCATGGATTCTCCTGGTGCAGTCTCTGGCTCAAAACAGCAAGGGGACATCTCTTATTCCGTTTCATGTCAAATTTGAATTTATTTTTCTCTCCATCACTATAAGGTCATGGTTTAGCTTTTTTTGTTGTTGCACCAAACTGGAAACAATCCAACACTGTCTTAGATAGATATGATGAAAATAAATTCTTATTCCCAGTTCACTTATTTATAGAGCCTGAAACATATTAACATAATAAAATGACATAAACTTTATAAACTCTTCACATAATGTCTAAACATAAGGTAAATAATTTAATTGACAAGTTAAAACCAACAAAGTTAGCTTGCTTATGCTACAAAGACACCACGCTTCTATCGTGCAGGAATAATTATCTTTTTTTACAGGTATATGCCTTTTATATTCATCAAGGACCGTGGTAAAAGTATTGGACTTCCCGAAGACAATTATTAAATCGGAGGAACTTACAAATGTAATTTTTGTAAATGGGTAAATATATAAGTCATAAACACAGGAGAGAAAAAAATTCAGTCAATATTCTTTACTCATAATATTGAATTGCCTGTTATTTTGTGCCAGTACACTAAAGAAACAGAAACTTTGACTTTATTTAAATGTATAAGTTTAAAAATATATATTAGGTTGAACTTAATATTATTGCTAAACTAATACAGTTGTGTGAAATGTGTTGACATAATACATTTAATTAAGGTAAAGGTTTCAGTTTTTTCAGTGTAGCCTACGCTGTATGTTTCCAAAGTTTAAAGAAATTTCAGATGAGAGGTTGACAGAAGTTGAGGGGGGGGGGTGTCAGGGTCAGACAGAGAGAGACAGACTGACAGGTAGAAAGCAATTCAAAGCCGTAAAGAACAGACGCGGCCTTGTCCTCGAGCGGCCCACTCTCCTGCAGAAAATAGTCAAAGCAGAGCAGTGAAACTCTACTGCTGGTTTTGATGAAATGCTGCACTCATTCCTACATTATACAGTTAATCTGTTTAAAATAGACTCATATTAATAAGTGTTGCCCTTGGCTTTGTTTCACACTGCTTGAAAAAACCCAAGTGCCAAACATGATATTAAAATTCATTTTTCTGCATGTGACTTAAATGTCAGATGCAAAAGGACACTCAAGGTTTGTTTGACTGTAATATTTTCTAGTTGTTTATGAAATGCTAAACTCTTATAATCAAATTACTGGGAGAGAACAATCCGGTCCAGACAGGCTCTGTCATTTATTTATTTTTATTCATCTAATCAGTGTTCATCCTCCGATCCTCCAGAAAACTGTTGTGTGTGCGTCGGCCAAAGAATTTGAATGGCTGAGGATAGGGTGACAGCAGTTGTTAAGGAGTCACCATGGTTACCGCTGCTCAGGAACAATGCTGAGCAGAGAATGCTGCGCTGTGAAAGACTGTTAGAAATCCTGAGGTGCACACATGCACATGCTTATACACTGAAACAATAAACACAATATGTTTTCATCCAGTAGAATTTACTCCTAAATAAGTAGTTAGGAGAAGCTTGTTTTAGCAGAAATGTTCCATTATCAGATTAGCTGTGTCAGACAGGACAGCATGCCATTAAGCTGTGGAAATGTCTCTGTTGCCTCTTTTCTTAAGCGCTGCTGGGCATCTTAATTTACTGGTTTGTGCAGTGCAAGCAGAGTGCTAAGCAACAACAAGGGAAGTGGTGAGGGGAACTCCACAGGGGGACACTCTGAATGCAACTGTTTGACACTGCTCACGGTTTATGTGATTTTTCCCTGTGCCTGCTTCATTTCTCTTGCCATGAGCTGGAATTTGTATGTCTTTGTGTTGTTGCCATGCACTCATTTCTGAGTGTCTATTGTTCCTTTTTGTGAGTGGGTTGATGTGCATGTGCATGTGCAAGTGGGAGTTTAAAAGGGGTGTTTGCCCTGCTAACTCTCCCCCCTGAGCGAGCCCCTTTCGTCCTCCCCTTGTTGTCATGCACAGGCGCTCTCCCTTTGGCACCAAGCGGGCTGGCAGCACAAGAGCCATGTGTTCAGACTCCACGCTTTGAAGGGCTCAAACAAACTTTTTCAGTACTGTTTCTGTGAAACGTCGTGTAAAGGGAGAGAGAGAGAGGGAGGGAGAAAAGAGGAGGAGAGTTGGGGTTGAAAGAGAGTTTGAGGGAGAGAGATGGGGAGAGTAAGGAGTTGCAGACAAAAACAAGCTGTCTACCATGAGGAGGTTTTGAGCTCAGTTGTTGAAGGATACTTTGTTTTGGATAACTTTTCTGCAGGAGACTCAACAACAGGTGAATATGGAGGAAGCAATATGTGAAAACAATGTTTGAAAAAGATGAGAATCAAATAAATGGTTTCTTCTTTGCTCAGGCAGGCCAAAAAGAGAGAGGGTGGTTGTGGAGACACTTTTAACAAGGCCCTAAACTCACACAGCTCTCACCATTTCTTTCCCTTTTCTCAGAGGCTGTTATCCTCGTGTGTGTTTCCCATCCCATAATTGAAGTCAGCCACCAGCTGTTTCAGTGATGCAGTCCGACGAGCTCTCAGCCAGAGAGGAGTTCACCTACAGCCACATGCCCACTCTGGAGAGGGGCGGTGGGGGGTCTCTGGGACGACGGAGCGACAGGGGAACGGATAGAAGGCCGGACAGGGGGGAGCGGTATAGGCCCGAGCGGGACAGCTACACGGTGGACGTGAGGGCCAGTGACCTGCAGCTGGCCCAGCCGGAGCCTCTAAAGCACCCCTGCTTCAGCTACAGGGCCTGGCTCTACAGTGTCCTCTTAGGGGTGAGAGGGGGAGGGTCAGGGAGAGGTACACAGGAGGCACATCACAGGGTGCATTTATTCAGTCCATCACACACAAATGTTAAAGGTTGGGATGATCTTTCATTCTGATGCATCCCAGTCTAGAAATTTTGAGTGGGATGGCGACAAGAAGTCTTGTGTTGTGCTTCCAAATTTAGGTGAGAACAATATGTCTCCAGTATGCAACTTCTAACCACTTACTTTAGCAAGTTTGTGAGCGGTGATTCTGAGGTAACAGAGAAGTAAACACAAACTGTTTACAAATGGTTATGTATGGGGCTGCTGGATGTTAATAATTAACATGTCAGCATTATGTCTGTGTGCTTTGTGTTTGATCTGGTAAACAGTTCAGATTTATGAATGGCTAAATATGTGTGCCATGTTGTTTGTGTGAGAGAATGTCAGTATTATGGTAGAGTTTTACCTTTTGAACGTATTTATGAGTGATCATATGTGTATTTGCATGCATGCCCACGTATGTTTCCTCAGGGCAGTCTCCTCATCACATCTGGTTTCTCTCTGTACATGGGAAATGTGTTTCCTGTTGCCATGGACTACCTGCGCTGTGCTGCCGGCTCTGTGAGTGACCGTAGCTCAATCACAGACACATTCATATCTGCTCTTACCTAATACATTCATGCTTATTGGTATGTATAAATGTAGGCAATATCATCCAATGGTTTTTATAAAATTGGTATCACTGGACCAATATAATATCTCACGCCTATCCATTTAATAATCCAACCATTATGAATATTCGATGTACTTATGTGACATTTTAATTCAAACTTTGGTATTGGACCAACAATTGTTGGACTTTGAAGACAAATGTTTTGGTCTTATATTGGTAAGATAGCTCTCAACCACTGGTAACATGTTCTATTACCTAAGAGAAGAGCAAAAAAATTACTTTTATAAATCCCAGAAATCTTCGGGTACTGACAAAATATCAGGACAAATTGAGGATTTGAAGAAAAATAATAGGTTATAATGCTTCCTGGGTGATGCCCATTGTTTAGATTATTGTCATGTCAAAATGCCAGTGACACTTTAGTTAAATACATTAATTCAACAATTCATTTTTGTTGCTGTTCTCCAACAGGGCATCCCTGCAGCGATCGCCAGTTTTGCCATTGCCAAGAACAGACATGTTGCAGTGAGTAAACAAACCTTGGGCAAAGTACATAATTATGTTGTAATGGATTTTTTATGAAAATTCCTTGAAACAATTGGCGCTTGATACTAATGAAGGTCTCATGTTTTTTTCAAGGTGTCAGATTTCCAGGTGGTCTACGTGTCAACATTTGCTGTAACGACCACCTGTCTGGTTTGGTTTGGATGTAAACTGGTCCTAAACCCTTCTGCTGTCAATGTAAATGCAACATAGTAATTTATTGGGAACTAGACATCCAAGCATACTAAGTTATCTTTATAATTAAAGCTTCTTTCTGTATTTCCTTTTTCAATCTTCCTATTGTGCTCTCCCTCCTGCCATGTTTATTCTCAGATCAACTTCAACCTCATCCTGATGATATTGCTGGAGGTGTTGATGGCCAGTACTGTCATCCTGTCAGCCCGCTCTGCAGAAGACTGCTGCTGCCACGGGAAGGTGTGTGTTTATGTGTGATAGTTTCTTTTATTTCCCCAGATGACGTGTCTCTCCTTCTACTCTCCGTCTGGCTTTGACTCATCCATCCTAACTCCACTCATCCCTACGTCCAACTTTTTAGCAGGTGACATATGACAGATCTGTGGTTCAGCCACCTGCAGTGTTCCCTACTCGAATCCTGAAAGCATATTCTGTAAGTACATTTCAGTTGTGTTGCATAAAGCTCTGTCTGGTTTCAATGCATATCAATCCCTGAAGAATTTCTCTGGCAGGTGATCGAAGTAATTGTGGGAATTTCTGCTGTATTCGGAGGGATTATTGCACTCAACATGGACGCTTTGCTACCTGGACCCTACTTGTCGGTCACATTTTTCTGGATTCTTGTTGCTGTAAGTTTTTCCTACTAAAACATACACTTAATCATAACCTTTTCAATGCCGTCGATATCAACCTATCACATAACTTTGTCTTTTGTTTTTAATCCTTTGCAGTGTTTTCCAAGTGCTATTGCCAGTCATGTCGTGTCAGAATACCCCAACAAATGTCTGGTGAGTACAAAAGAATACGCTAGTTGTTTGAGTCCCAGTCTTGAGACTGTTTACTACATTTAAATAAGGGTTCATATATTTGAACGGGTAGATGAGATCTGCATAATATACTTTGAGCTGTTAGTCTTTGTTAGAATACAAACACTGATCTATTTAATGACTCTGACCTCAGAGGGAGGTATGGCCTCTTGATATTTGGATGCATGGTGATGCAGGAGAGTTCTCTGTTTTGGTACTGACGAATCCCAGTTTAGAGTTTGTCACATTAGACAACACAGTATCCTTATTGACATATTTGGGCAACCGGGAGTGTAACTCTTGGTCAGCCTTGAAATGGTTCTCGTCATACCCCTCTGATAGGTGTGTATCAGTTGCAGTTAGTTAAGTCAGTGTCTTTATCTGAAACTGTATTATGGTGTGCCCCAGGGTTCTGTTCTTGCCCCTCTCCTGCTTCCCCTTCACTTCTAACGTATCTCCTATTACAACTTCAATGATATTCAATTCTAATTCTTATTTTAGCCTCCAAATGTAAAAAATTAGCTGTATAAAATGTCTAAACTTTGGATGGCACATCATGTCCTATAGCTAAAACAAAAGCTCTAGATTTTGCTACGGTTTCTTTCAGGCAATTATGGGTTCTCTTTCCTCTTCTGTTACATCAACCCAAGACATTGAGGTGTCACTTGACCAGGCACAGTCACTTATGTTTGATTCATTTCCTGTTTTTCCAGCTGAGAAACATAGGAAAACTCAGACAGATTGTGTCTCAAGCTGAGATGAGGCTGTATCAATGACTGAAACTTTGTCCTTACCTGCCACAGCAAAACATCCTTAAATCCCTTACAAGTGCCCAAAGATGTTGCTGCTAAAATCTGATCAGGTCCTCAAAAATGTCTCATGTGACACCAATCTTGGTGTCTCTAACTGACCTTGGACACTTCTATAAAATAGATCAGTGAATGTAACACCTGTATAGCCTTGCCTTTCTATATTTCTATTTGATGGTGTTTTCTTTTCTTGACAAAGTTTTCTGAGTTCCTGTTTTCCCTCCTCTGGGTGTCTCTCAGGTGGAGGTGCTGATTGCCATCAGCAGCGTGACGTCTCCACTGCTCTTTTCAGCCTCCGGCTTCCTTTCTTGCAGTGTGATCAGCTTTATTGACATTTTCCTGAATGATGTGCCTACAGCCAAGGTGAGTTTAATGAGGTGGAAATTCAACAGTGGTGTGCAATATGCCGGCTTTCAGGGAACTATTTCCAGACTCAAGCTAATTATGCACAAGAAGTACAGGAACACAATTAAGAGAAACGTTGAAAATGACGTGTGTGTGTGTGTGTGTGTGTGTGTGTGTGTGTGTGTGTGTGTGTGTGTGTGTGTGTGTGTGTGTGTGTGTGTGTGTGTGTGTGTGTGTGTGTGTGGTCCAGCAATCCTACGACATCCTGCTGCTGATTCTGATGGTGCTGCTGCTGGTGCAGGCAATTCTTACTTCAGCCACTGTGGTGCACTGTGCCTCCTACAAGAGTAAGCTCCGCATGGGGGCTCCAGAGTGCAACGACAGCATGCACACCACAACCCGTTACTATGAGGTAAGACTGGGAAAAGCAATGATTGTGTAGAGATGGACACATATGTTCCTCTCCTTTTTATGATTCTCCACTTCCACCAAGAGACATTAGTGAATTTGGAAAATGATCCATTTAATTATCTTAGTTGTCATCATAGCTCATGTAAACATTATGATGTAAAATGATATTCTTTAGAACACATATAAATACACATTGTGTTTTTCTATGTGTTCTCATCCTTCACACATAATGTATCTAAATGTTTTTGTCCCCTTGCACATTGACATCTCTCTCCCCTTCTCCCTCTTCCTGTGTTGCTCCCTCAGCAGCATGCAGCCAATGGAACGCTGCAGGATTTTGATAAAGACAGAGCCTGGAAGGCAGTGGTGGTCCAAATGGCTACATAGACGTTTGATGAGAAGTGTGAGAAGGGGGGGATAGAACCAACTCAGCACAAGAGTTAGTACAAGAGTACAACAAGGACGAAAGAAAAAGCAATGAAGATTTGTTCAGTTATGAAGATGTAAAGAAGATTAGGAGGCAGTAAATCAATAACGGAAGTTGGCGAAATAAATCAGAAGGACAGAAAAGTTTAAAATAATGCAAAGCTGAGAATAATGCTTGCCTGCTTACTGTAGGGCATTATTTGACCTGTGTATAGTTAAAGTATTTCTACATTGTGACCTCGTGGATACGATGAACAAGCATGTGAGTCAATGTTTATAAGAAATGATTTGAGCATTTGTGGATATGAAAGGATTTCAGTTTGTATGTCACCACTACAAAGAGAGATCTATGCATCTTTGCTACTTTTTTAAGCTGGTCGCAGCTGACTCAATTTATTCCAAACCTGTTGCGACCTAGTGATGTTTTAAAACAGCATGTATAGAAGTGTTGTGCATAGATGAAATTGATCCTAACTTTGTCCGTTGTACATTATTTTTCCAAAAAGTAAACACTGAATTATCTCCACACTTACATGACTGTTAGTAATACATGTTTTAAGGAGTAGGCCGCTTTGTGTACAGTGATGTGTTAGTGGTAGCAACATCTTATTACAAGATAATTTATCTACCTGGATTTTGCAGAATAACTTGTACATTTCAACTGAAAATGTGTTTTACTATAGGAAAATAAAACGTTTGTCCTCAACTGCAAGCAAATGGGTGAATATTGTTTCATGATTGCTCTCGTTGTTGTTTAATGTTGCCCTCTTGATAAATGTGCAGATATATAAATAAGTAAGATGGGTAAGATGAGACTAAGTGACTGAATCCTGAAATAACCTTCCAGGAAATATCATATTTTTAGATGTTAGGCTGAGTTGTGAGGCACATTTTGCTATATTATATATTGTATATAAAGTCGACGTTTAGCCTATACAGTAATGTTCTGTGTTTGTCACACTGTCGTTCAACAACGAGATTTGTGTTCAATATCATTTAGTCAAGAACAACATCACCTTTAACTATGACTTCAATGTTACATGCATAATTGCAAGTTCACAGTTTTCCTAATTAAGAGGGCTGAGTGTATTTCTAAACATATAGGCCTAATATTATGCTTTTTTGTTCTTCAAAGTGAACAACCTCAAGATCTCTGCAAGGATGCTCAAAGAGAGAGAGGGAGGGAGAGACAGAGAGAGAGAGACTGAGACTGAGACAGAGACAGAGACAGAGAGAGAGAGAGAGAGAGAGAGAGAGAGAGAGAGAGATACTATATTAGGAAGCAGACGTAGTGAGGTGCGGCTTCCACAACCGGCAGAAACCGGCTTCAGGAAAACTGACTTGTGGCTCAGTCCGGCTGACAAAAATCGAGAGCGCGCCCCTATCGTGCGCCCACATCACACATCCAAGGATCTCAACATAGTGCACGAGGCTGCTGGAGGAAACTGTCCTTGCTAAGCAGTGATGTAATGTTAAGTTAAGGAAATCTTTGTTAATACATTTTATTGTCCGTACAAGACAATGTTCTTTAAAAATACATTATAACTATCTTCACACAGTCATATCTATCAGTAGCCCACGCAGGGTTCCCAGTTGTAATGCTCTACTTTATTTGAAAATGCAGGTTACCCAGCCTCCACTTCATCAGGAAACAAAATCCTTGCCACACATATGTGCTTGAACAAAACACATGTCATGTGTATTTGCCAGGCCCACACTCATAAATGATGGGCAGCTGGGTAAGCCTATCAATAAGAGCCACTGTCTTGAAGTTAGGTTGTAGACTTAGACAGGATTGAATAGCGGTTGCCGGTTTATTCAACTATAGCCAAGTCTAAGCTAATCCATAACTCTCAAACGTGATTTGAATAACCAAGACTAATTATGGTGTTTTATCCCAATAGTGTTACTCCCCTTTAATGTTCATATTTTAATTAGCCTATCCTTAAGAATGTAAATGAAACACCTGTAAATAAATGATTTTAGATTATGATTTGTGAAATGTCCCCCCCCCCAACATCCACACATCACGTGTCCTTGCGAATAGATCGATTGTTCCAGAGATGCAATTTATGAACTGGAGAATCCTAACGCGTTGTCTCATCCCTTGTTCCTGAGGAAGAGGCAGGGAGGGGAGACAGCGTCGGGTTGGAGGGAGGGAGGGGGCAGCTGGTAAAGGGGGGAGCCGGAACAAACCGGTGTGCTCGGATACATGCTGTAGCTGCTCGCCCGCACTGCAGATTAACTCTTACCGTGCCGGGAGATGCAGCGAGACATGGTGAGTGGATTTTCGAATGTTTTCCCCCCACTGCATGCACACTGCTTGTTTGTTAGCTGCACACACTCAGTGGGGCTAGTGTTTCCAGTGTGGACAGGTGATGCTGCAGGTGTTGAGCTTTGGAGACTCCAACAGCCTCCAACACACACAGAAGCAGAGCAGCACACACTCGATCACTTGATGTTCTCTGGTTATTCCGGAGCTCTCCACCGCTCAGGTGCTGAAACTGCACGCAGCTGCTATATCTCCGGTGGAAGTGTTTGTGCTCCTCCTGGATGAGATACTCCCAGCGTCCTGCACTCACACGCATGTTAGGAGACAGCATTAGCTAAACACGAGCTAACTGGAACATAATGATCCTCTGATGATATGTTCCTGCATTGTTCCCATAGGGACTAACTAATGAGGTGAAAGTGGGAAAACAGTGGGGAGAGTTTGTCTTTCTAATATCTATCATAGATCTGTCATATCCGGATGTGTTCTTAGGATGACTAAAAACAAGTGTCAGATCCACACTGAAAGTTATTCTCTATTCATCTTTATAAAAAACGAATATGGCTCTTCTATTGCAGCTCTTGTTTAAAGCGCTGTCTCTTTGTACTGGTCATAATAGCCAAGCGGGATACGGTGGTAGTCAAAGAATGTGGGATTCCCTCTCTAAGCTCTAATAACATCACCCAGTGAGACAGAATTACCAGTCGGACTATTCTTGTGCCGGTGGCTTACAAACAGCATTGCAGCCTCTTACTGAGCGCCTAAACATCTGATGCTGCCCCTTTAAATTTCAATTATGCAAAGTTTATTTCCCCTCTTCCTTGACACAGTGTTCAAGGATGTGGATACAGTTATTTTGGATGTCACTGGGCAGATCAGTTTAAAATCTGTAGTGTAGTTTATCCCATAAAGGACATCTTGTTCTCTTTTTAAGGAAAGGCAAGCCCCACTTATTTATAGCATATTTCAACAACAAGGCCATTCAAAGTGCTTTACAAAAAACATGAAATGCTACAAGGGCCACATAACACAAAATCAAATATGAAACAGTCATTAACAGTGTTATGTAAGAAATACATGTTAAAGTTGTGACACCAATAATTGCAACATTTACTCAGCCTTAAATAGTTCTCTTGAAATATTATTTCAAAGAAATGCTCCACTAATGATCTCTTACACCGTGAGGGTGATAGTAGACGCTCATTCCCCTTTGCATTTGTGTAACTGAAGTCTCAAGGTTCCACTCCTCCAGATATTAAGTACACTTCACTGCTTTGGATTAGAGGGCTTGGCTTTTAAGGGTTTCATAGATGAGCTGTGTTTATGCACAATGAGAGGAAAGTGAGTGGTGTGCAGAGGGGGTAATGGGGGGAGAGAAAGTAAAAAGAGGAGAAGTAGAGTGAGAGGGTGAGGGCTGTAGACGGGAAGGGGTGATGCGTTCACACTACTCACAGAGGACATTCACGTACCCTTCAAGTGTACTGAGCATGCAGCAGCCGCCAGTTCAACCCTGCATAAGCATATGCATGCTCATGTATACATGCACGCTCATTCACACATGCACAAACACACGCAGAGACGCACCAGAGATCAAACTGACAAGTGTGTTCACCTGACATCTCAGTGGGAACATGCTGTCCCACAGGGATAATGACTGCCAATTAGGGGCAGGGGACCAATTGTGGAATAGCAGAGTCCAGAAAACTGTCATTTTAAAAACTAACTGAGATACTTTTTTTTGGTGACTTAATGGTTGGCTAGAGAGGATACAATTGCCCTTTAGTGTCCTTGCTTGATCAAAGACAACCCCCACCCCCCTTAGATGTGACCACATTCACACACTCCACTGGTCACAGAGTGAGGATTAGTCGTCCTCGGAAACATGACTGCACTAGAGAATGATGGGTGGAAACAGAGAGCTTTTTCTGATGCAAATTCACACAAAGACTGATTTAAAATATGGTGGCACTAATTGTTTTTTTAAATGTTTTCAGAAATTGGATCTTGGGCCTCGAAGTACTTTTATCTATTCATTTGTTTTCTTTCTTTCAGAAAAGGATTGGTCAGAGCTTCCCTTGACTAAAGCTCGCATTTCAACTCTTCAGCCAGCCAGCTCTTTCCCTAGGGATCACAAGGAGGCCTGCTAAACTCAGCTCATCCCTCAACCTGCCACACAGAGTGGGACAGAGGCCTGGCACTGTGGAGATGGGGACACACATAGGGATGCGCACAGAAGAGGCAAAGGGAGGAGTGTGCTTCTGATCGTTATGCCTGGTCAGCTAAAAGAGAAAAGCAGTGGTAAACTGTAGAACACTCAAGAAGCACACCACACAGCATGAGGTTCCTTACGGTTGGTGACAGGGGCTGAAGTTGGCCAATAATTTCTGTCTTGGGGAGTGTTTCACTTCAGCAGGGAGTGTCGAGCCTCCCCTCCAGTCCAGAGGGAGGTTGTGGCGAGCGGCCCTTGTGTTTCCGGATGCAGAACATCCTCGATCAGAACTTAGACATGGCCACGGCTCTACTCGCCGGCGAGAAGCTGAAGGAGCTGATCCTGCCGGGCTCCTCTCAGGATGAGAGGGGGGGGTTACTGGCCGGCCTCCTGGTGCAGCTCAAACTGGAGCTGCCCTTCGACCGCGTTGTCACCATAGGGACGGTCATCATCCCCATCCTGCTGGTCACCCTCGTCTTCACAAGGAACTTTGCAGGTGAGACTTTTGCCACTAGAGGGAGTTCATTGCTAAACTGCCAGAGTGGTTATACACCAGCAGCTGTACGTTCTGAGTTTACCATGCAGTGCCTTAAGGCTTCTGTGGATGTGATAAGTAGAGATGTAAGTAGGAGATTAGGCAAAGAAGGAAAAGGACCAGTGACGAGTGCATCGGAGGAAATGATAGACTGGAGATAGAGAGGGGAGAGGAAAGTGTTTTGTTAGAAGGCTGGGTGTGACGGGAGAGATGTTAGTTGTATGCTGAGTCAGACTCTCTGCATAGCAGCATCAACCATCTGGGACTGAGCGTTTCACTTGGAGTTCAGACAAGTTCCCTCAATACTCCCTCAATGGTGTGTTTTATAATGATATTAAGGGCATTGCCAAACTTTTTTAGATGACTCAGCACCCTGCCCTCTGTGACTCTAACAAAGTAATGCTATTGCACATATAATACATGCCTTGGTGGTATTTTAATGGTTTTTAATAAATAAATAGTATGCATTGCAATAGCAAAATAGGGAATTTATCAGATGTAACTGCGTTTAGTTCAGAAGATTAAAATTGGGCTTTCTTCAACCCTAAACTACATAGATCGGAAAGAGAACAACTTAGACAGGAAATTGAGCTCTCTCTTCCTCTCTCTGAGCCAGGCAGATGATCTTTTCAAAGGCAGTGTGAGCGTTATCAGAGGCACACAGCATTGTGATCGAACACATCAAAGATTCTCTGAGATACAGCGAGAACAAAAAGTTAAACGAACAGATCAAGTTCCCGTGGTAAATACAAAGGAACACAATAACATAATTAGGGTAATGTGATTTGGAAGTGAAATGAAGATGAGCAATACATTTTAATATGTTTTAATATCAGATGCCCTACTGAGAGCAACTGAGTTGTTTAATGTTGGTTCACAGTATTCAGTCTTGTGTGTACATACATACGTTTTACAATGGATGACTGCACCAGATGTCTCTGGTATGTTTACCTTCTTTCACTTTCAAACAGGTGGTTTGGAGAGAAATAGTTATTCTAGGGAATTTGTCTAATCTGTTTGTCTGACATCACGTTATCACATTGCCAAATCTTGAAGCTGAGAAAAAATGTCTGAGTGATGAGGGAAATTATTTTTAAAAAATCCATGATTAAGCGTGATAGAATTGTTCTTTCAGCTGATATATTCATTTACATTATGACACAATTATCCAACTTATAATGTTCGGGCAGATTTTTTCTCATTTTTGTCCTATTTCTCAGAGGAGTCCATTTACTGTTACACACCACACAACTTCACCAGAGACCAGGCACTGTATGCAAGAGGCTACTGCTGGACAGAGCTGCGCGATGCTAAACCTGGTTTGGAGTCTCACCTTTGGCCTTCACTTTTTGAACACAAGTTCCTGCCCTATGCCCTGCTGGCCTTCGCTGGAATCATGTATATTCCTGCTTTGGGCTGGGAGTTCCTTGCCTCTACGCGGCTCACTTCAGAGCTCAATTTCCTGCTTCAAGAAATTGATAATTGCTACCATCGAGCCGCTGAGGGCCGAGCACCGAAGATCGAGAAGCAGATTCAATCCAAAGGACCTGGCATTACCGAGCGAGAGAGGCGGGAGATCATAGAGAACGCAGAGAAGGAGAAAAGCCCCGAGCAGAACCTGTTTGAGAAATATTTAGAAAGACGAGGCGAAAGTAACTTTCTAGCTAAGCTTTACCTGGGGCGCCACCTGGCTATTATCTGCCTCAGTACCATCCCCATTTCCTACCTGAGCGCCTACTATGCCCGCCAAAGGCAGAATGAGTTCACCTGTGCCCTTGGTGAGCCCCCGGACATCAGCAGCTACTTCGAGCTGAAGCTCAGGGTCAACTGTAAGCTGCCTGCGGTGCAGCTGCAGCGCATCATGGCAGCAGTGGATATCTCTCTGCTCTGCACCATGAACCTCATCATCCTGCTTAATTTGCTGCACTTGTTTGTGGTGCGCAAATCCAACTTTGTATTTGACAAACTGCATAAAGTTGGCATTAAAACACGGCGACGCTGGCAGAAGTCTCAGTTCTGTGACATCAACATCCTGGCCATGTTCTGCAACGAGAACAGGGACCACATCAAGTCGCTCAACCGGCTGGACTTCATCACCAATGAGAGCGACCTCATGTATGATAATGTAGTCAGGCAGCTGCTGGCTGCGCTTGCACAATCCAACCATGACGCTACGCCCACCGTGAGGGACTCTGGGATACAAACCATCGATGGCAACATGGACCCCTCTGAACTTGGGATGGGAGACATGACTGGGGAGCCGCTGGTCCTCAAACGGCCACGCAAGAAGATGAAATGGATCCCAAGCTCAAATCCTCTCCCTCAGCCATTCAAGGTAAGGCCTAAGAACAATTTCCATGTATTCAGATAGCATCATTGACACCAGAACAGATCTAAACCTAGTGCCCTCTAGAAAAAAAAAAACTTACTTCAATAACCTGTTTACTGGAGTACAGTTCACATAAACATGATCTGTTGAAGATACTTACATGTGAGCCATATCAGTGCTACATAAACCTCTTTCTCTAAAGAGGCACAGTAAGTAGTCCTCTTAAAGAACTAAACAGAACTCTTGACGCTGTTGAAGTTGTGATATAATTACCGTTTTTGTGTTTTCTGTCCTTTTAAAAGGAACCCCTTACCCTGACACGTCTGGAAAATAGCAACAAGCCTGAAAAACCCAAACCAGTAAGACGAAAGACGGCGGCAGACAGCTTCATTGCACCACTTCTGGATACCAAAAGCACACAATACCCTATCACAAAAGGTATGAATTATTATGAACAGCAAATCTGTTTAAATGTTTGTTTATAAATGTGATAATAAATATTCCTAACCATTGATCATTTCACGTTAGAATAGTGCTTAAGATAATATATAGTTAAACCAGGGATTTAGTTTCACTGCCTATTTGCTCTTGCGCTCTCTTACCTATGCAGGTGTGCAGATAAACCGACTGAAGCTGAACTGTTTCGCGGATCCACCGCCAGTCTCATTCCCTAGTTTGAGTTTGTTTATGGAGATCTGATCTGCTTTATGGACAGCGTTTATCCTTTGAAACGCGAGATATCTCACAGTAACAATGGCATGTTGAAAAATCGCAGAGACCAAGCTCCAGTTCAGATCGGTGGAAAAAGTGAATACCGGGCTCTGGGTCAGCGAACAGTTCAAAATCAGTCGGGTTGATCTACACACATGTACCGAAGAATGCAGGAGCAAATATCTGAGGCAGCAACAGGGAGAGCAGAAGCAGAAGCACTTGTATTCAGCATGAAGAGTTGAAACAACTAGTTAGCTAGCTAGCATGTGAGAAACACAGTAGGCCTATAACAAAAAGTTGACCGAATAACACACTTTAAAGACAGCCCCCTTACTTTGTATATTGAAGCAGAAATGCATAAATGGAATGTAAAAGTCAATTGACTGGCATCTTTATAATTTATTTTGGCTGGCTCCATCCTTCACACAAAGGATTATGTTTTATGTGAAAAGGATATTTTTTATTGACAAACCTGTTTATATTTTTAGGCCCACTCTGCAATTTCCTCTAGCTCTACGGAACTTTTTAGGATCTTTCGAGCTATTTGTTTTGGTTTTACAGCCTACAACTTTACTCTCTAAGCTCACTCTCATAGCTTTCATTAGCATTGTTTCCAGACGCAGCACAGTAGCTTTTTAACCCTTGTGTGGTGTTCATATTTTTGTTACTCAGCCAGTGTTCGTGGGTCTGGTGGACCCGCTGCCTTTTTGGGCTTCAATTCAACACAATCAAACTATTTTACGTTAAAATACTCAACAGATGTTTACTTCATCCCAAGTACAAGCAATATAAACAGCATATATGGTTAATACTTGCCCTTTTACATTTGTTAGATCACATTAATTAATTAAAATGCTACTGGTCTTTTGCCCGCTGATCGGCTGGTCCTGTGGCTCGTCTTTTTTTTGTAACTAGCTGATGCTCGATCTCATCCTCTTCTTCAAAGTCACTGTCGGACTCAGAATTCTCAGAAATGTGATCCTCACATTCTGAAACCTCTTCCTCTACATCATCATCAAATGGTTCTCTCTCTTCCAGAATCATTTGCAAGGCCCTTTGAGCAGAGAATCTTTTGGCCATCTTGATCAGTTGTGATAAGGACCCAAACTGGCAAAGCTTTATTTATTGTGTCTTGCCCCAAATGTGCAGCTTGGGTAGAGTGTGAAAAAAATAAAGATTGGTTCCCGCAAAACATAATGCGGGAATGTGAGAGCAGTGCTTGAATTATCAACTATGTTGCAACCTTGTGCAGGAATGGCAGGGGCAGAAACACACAGTCGCAGAAACACACACACACACACACACACACACACACACTTTTGTTAGCCCCAGAACACCCTGTGTGTAATGTAATANGGGGTACAGTGGGTGGTCATTGAAAATGTGTTCTGATCAGGTTCTGATATATGTTCTTTACAGAAAATGAGCCAAGGCCATTGAGTGTGAGTTTGAAAAAATAATGTATCATATCATTTTTCTTTAGCTAAATAATGAAAACGGGTCCAGAAGACCCGAATACCATACAAGGGTTAAACAAACTTTGGATTGGTGACCTGATTTTGTATGTTATGTTCTGCTTCCTTTAAGTCAGACTTCTAATTTTCCATCGTAGATATGAGTATGATGGAGAAAAAGCACCCTCGAAACTTCTCTCTGGACGTCCACCCATACATGCTGACCATTCGTAAGCCCAAGGTGGATGTAGCAACAGCCGAGCCTCTGCCCCCAGTGCTCAACCTGGATACAGTTTACCTTGAAGGCACACACACTATCGTTCATGTGTCAGGTTCAATTACAGGTAAGCTTGAACTCTACTTTACTCTAGCTTTTGCTGGTCCAGGGCCAGAATTTGCCATATTTTACTCAAACTGTTTGGGTTCAAGAAAAAAAAGCATGCAGCATCCCATCTCATCTAGCTGTACCTTGCATATGCACCTTGAGGTGGCAGTAGCTCAGTCTGTGGGGACTTGGCCTCGACCAAAAATACTGGTGTTGACTGGTAACTGGAGAGGTGCCAATCTATCTCCTGGTAACTGCTGAGGTGTCCTTATGCAAGGCACCAAACCCCCAACTGCCCCCATGGCAGACTCTTCGCTCTGACATGTCTTCATAAAAAAAGTGCATGTCTGCATTATTTTTCTTCTTAAATATAACCCACTTTGTGTTGCTTACCTGCTTTCAGAAAATAGGTAATAAATAACTATTTTGGTTCTTTAGGTTCCCCCACAAGTGTCACGCCAAACAAGAGTCGTACTAAACAAAAATCACAAGTAAATGAGAATTTGAATTAATGTTTCACCAAAATAGAGTCACGCTGAACGAGAGTCACGCTGAACGAGAGTCACGCTGAACAAGAGTCACGCTGAACGAGAGTCACGCTGAACGAAAGTCACGCTGAACGAGTCACGCTCAAAGGAAATCATGCCAAACGATAGTTACACTGAATGAGAGTTGAGCTGAATCAGAACTGGATTAAAAGTTGCCCAGAGGGATAGTCACGAAAAACGAGTCGCACTTGATGAGCGTTTGAAAAGAGAATCACACTGAACGAGAGTCGCACTGAGCGAGGCTGAGGCAGGGGCTCTCAGAAGATATCCTCACATGCATGACCCAGAAGCATGAGTTATCCACATTATTATCCACAGTATTTCTCAAGTATTCAGATCATTTACATTTGAGACTGACTTTTCCCTCTGTCCCTCTACCCTGTCCAATATTTCCTTCTTGTCTTTCAGAAACTAAGATTTGCTCTCCAAAATCGACCAACACTGCCTTTTCTACGATGACCTTGCCCACCAACTCTTACGTTAATGGCGTGAGCCCAAACCCTCCCTCCAGTGAGGACCCCCTCAGTCCCAAGTCTTCTCCAACCCCTGTCCTTCTTCCTCCGCCTACCCCTCCGAGGGAGCCTCCCCCCCAGGCGGAGAACCCTGAGTGTCCACCACCAGCCCTGACCAGAGCCCCTACACACCAGCTGATGAGCATACATCATACTCTGTTTGAGGGAGAAGAGGATGAAGAACAACGCAGGGATAGACTGGCAGAGAGACCCGGGGAGCTCATCGCTGCTGGGGAATGTTGAAGGAGGAGAAAAAGAGGGACGCTGAACAAGATTCCTCTAGCCCACTCTACACTGCGCACATGACCAGCATGTCAACCACTTCCTATTGACAGTCACCTCTACTCTTAAAATCAACTCACACTCGTCTGTGATGGGAGGATTAGACAGTGAGGACATGACATGGAAACTCCGGTAGTCCTAAAAGAGAAATGACCGAGACGGGGAAATTATTCAGAGGGGATAATATAAACGTTTGTTTGTAATTAATAATGCTGACCAGAGTACTGCTGTAGGAAATGATGTCACATTCATGTCTCAGGATGACTGTGTACAGCTAAACATCCTCAAATGAAACCAGCAGAGGTATAATTCAACAGGGTGCTAAAGTGCAGGATCCAACAGCTATATTAAAAAGGCTTAATGAAAGGAAAAGCAGCAATGAGAGGTGAGTGAGCTTTCAAAAATATAAATAAAAAAAGACACACACCTTAAAAGAAGACGGCATTACAGCTTCAAACTAAAATGTATTTTAAACACATATGATATAGCGCTTAGTCCCTTTATCCCAATAGCCAGGTAGAAAGGTAGCTTACGCAATACAGTTGAGATCTGCACAATTAATATGCAAAAGATCACAATATATTTGTGGCAATAATGTATGCGCTTACAGCATCATATCTCACAGAATGCTGTATGTATTGACACTGTATATGACTCAGACTTTGTGTAGATAATATAACACACGTTTCATGGCTTTATTATTGCCATTTCACCGCTGATTAGGAACGTGTATGATATCTTGACTCCACTATATTTGCACGTCATTTATAATAGGTCAATTGTTATATTATATACAGGAATAGCAAAAGAACAGGCTCTAGAATGAAAGAGTGCCGTTGTGAGGTGACGTGCAACTACAGTACAATATTGCTCAGAGAAACTGTCACATAGGTAACGGATATCTATGACAGAACTACAATGATCTGGTTGTTTTCTTCTTTTAAAGCAGATCAAACATAAAGAATGGAGTTGGACCCAGTGGTAAAGTATGTGACTGTTGTGTTCAGCTGGCTTCTCGTGGAAGTGCTGTGATGTGATGTGAACGAAGTGATGAGTAGATTTAATGTCTCACTGGAGGGTTCATTACTAGATAGAATAAGTTATTGAATGCCATCTGCTGTCTCAGACACAATCTAAATGTCTTCAGTAGTTCTGCCCTGCCTCACATTGTGTCAACATCTGCTATGAACAACTTAACAGTTAGAATGGTCTGTCTGTGATGTGAAGTAGAAACCATGCATATGGGGTGTCTTAGCACTCTTCACAATGAACGAGTGAGTGGACAAGGGGATGGGTGCCTACCACTACCTCTCACATTTTCAGCCACATGAATACAGGAACTTCACTAAAGGAACTGCCTGCACTGACTTACACACAAATATGACATATATTCTACTGTAGAAAACATTAGTACTTTCATCTGGGGTTTACCTACAATATCGGTAGACATATGCATACTATACTCATTACTCACATTTGTCTGGGGCATTCAGGAAGCATACACTTGTGATGAGGGACAGCATTTTTTTCCAATGATCTTTTGGTGCAAATACAAAATAATCCACTTTGTTTTCATGTTGGCTAAAAGTCCCGTTGTTAGACTGATCAAGCACACCGAATGCATCCAAAAGCACTTTAAGACTTGTAGCGCGAGTATGTGAGGGCATGGTATATGTTAAAACACAGCTCTGCTTATAAAGAATTTTTTTCTGTGTAGATTTGAACATTGAGTCAATAAAGAAGGGAAATCTGTGACAGAGAAAAGAGTCCAGACTTTGATTGTACTGTGTGAAATGTTATAATGGCAAGTAAATAAATACATTTTCCCTATAAAAATAAATGTGTGGGTCGACTAAATGAATGACTACATGTACCAGGAAGCACTGTGGCTGTCAGATTCAGACGAGCATTTGCTGTAATGCAGCTGTAGTGGCGAGGAGCACACTGACATACGGGCTGGCTTAACCAGTACGTTTTTTATATTTGTTTTGATACAACTATTGTGTATGATAGCAAATGTATTGTACTTGATAATGTCAGCATTTGTTGTGAAATTTATCAATTCCAACGATTAAGTTTTGACGACATACTTACGGGGCTTGCTAGCGATGAGACTTCAGTAAACCATGGATATAAAGAGAACTGGATACAGCGTTGGAGGAGGGATCCATCCATCCCGTTCATTCCATTTGCTCGCATGAAGCTCAAAATGGAGCAACTGTAGATTCAGAAAGTACCCGGATCATCCGGGGCCTTTTGCTTTCCCTAAGCCCCGCCTCCAGTCTCCCGCTCTCGGCTCAGTCAAATTAAGAGAGAAAATAACTCTGGTTTTGGCTTTTAGCGCATTTAACAACCCTAATGATTTAAATGAGGGCTATAACACTGCTCGTGCTCGGTATTTTACTGATTTACAGTGACTCTTCCCAATGTAAGTCGATGGGAAAAAGTATTTTGGGTCAAAATTACGTCACGGAAGCTGTAGTAACATCGTTTGGCCACTACGGCCATTCACACAAATCGCCTTCAACGGCCACTGTACTTCCTGGGTGCTTCCGTACCTGGAAGTAAAACTAGCTTAACCTGCCCCCTTCAAGTCACTTCGTCTTTAGCTGCACTGTGCCTTGTGTTGCTAACATTTTCTTCGTAGTGATAACCTATCTGGAGATAACGAAACATTTGTATTTAGTCCAATGTTTATAAATCAGTGACAGTCCTGAAACTACCGAAGGCACAGCTGGACAATTGTAAACTGCGTTTACACTGCGTTTTAAAGCAACGTCAGCAGTCACTAACGCTGCACTGTACGCAGCTGTGTCAGTGAACGTCTACTGCTGAGTGGTAACGCATGTCTTCCTCCTGCTCTCTGTCAGCTTTCAGTGCTCCAAAAATGGATCAAGACAACAATTCAGAGGTTTGCAACACTTCCAATCATTGTGTTTGTGTGGGTCTGTGAGTGAAAGACTATACGTCGACTGGTGTTCTGCCAGATGCTCAAACTGGACAGCGTGTTGGGTGTTTATTATGATGTAAAACACTTGTATTTATTCTGATGCTAACGGTGCTATCTTTAATTTGTTTCTCAAACATTGCCATATGAATTTTCCCCAAGCAGGTACTTAAATATGTGCAATCAGTCTGTCTTTCTCAAACTGGCTAGACTTGGAAATAAATAATCTCTTAATCTAGTACAGATATAGCATGCCCTGTGTTTTTAAATGGCTTGTTGTTTGCTGTTTTGACATCTAACAGGATGAGTCTGTCGGCCCATCGGAGAACCCTTCAGAAGATGAACTACCCTCTCTGCCTCCAGGACTCTGTAAGCTTTTTTAAATGACAGTGTGTATGCTGTATTTCATCAGAAATATTTCATAATACCTGTTTTTTAAGTGTCTGTTTGCCACGTCATGTGTCTGTTTTGAATTCAATATCATATTAAACATGTTTTGGGTAGTTTATCAACCTGGCAGTGCCTTTCAGCAGGCTTTTCGATATTTATTTCTAATTTAAATTGTGACACAATAATCAACATTTAATTACTATCTGTAACCCAATTGTGATTATGCGGAGTTAATCTAGTCCATCAATAGCAGAGACACTGCTTATGTGAAAAGAAATGTGTGTATAGTGTAAATTACTATAACTTTAGCTTCTGCACTTTAAAAGAGAAACCTTTTAAAATGTGTTTAAATATGAAAATATATTCTTCCTATAAAAATATGGTAGTTATTGTAAGCCATAAAAACTATATGTGTCCCCTTGTATATTTCAGCTCCTTTTAAAACTTTATTTTATTTTGTCCAGCGGATGGTGAAGCAATGGAGCTGCTTTGGCAGCTGCGGTCCCAGCGCCGCCAGGCGTCCCCTGAGCTCCCAGAGACGGTTTCCATTCTAACGGCTCCGGACGGCAGCCTCCTCTACCTGGTGGGCACGGCCCACTTCAGCGACAGCAGCAAGCAGGATGTGGCTATGGTGAGCCAATGAGAATTTACAACAGGATTCGTTCAGTACGCGTTCCCGCTTACACCCTTTTAAAATGTGATAGACTATGAGTTATCAGTGAAACAATGGAGTAACTCTGAGAATGTGCTGTACAGTAGCGCCTGGGAGATGAGTCGGCCCAACTGTTAATACTGTAATTAGGTTTGCATTCTTCTCTTGCCAAGCATAAGTCTTGTTTTTTCCTCATTGATTTTCAGTTTTTACTTCCTCACTCACTGCTCATTTGCCATTTCTCTTTCTTGCCTACTATGTCTCTGTTTCTTAATTTTGCATTTCCCTGCCTCCCAGACGATCCGCGCTGTGCAGCCAGACGTGGTGGTGGTGGAGCTGTGCCAGTACAGGGTGTCTATGCTAAAGATGGACGAGGCTACACTGCTGAGGGAAGCCAAAGACATAAATCTGGATAAGGTTCAGCAGGCCATCAAACAGGTCAGACTCAGAAAGATGGACTGACAGTACCAATGGCAATCGAGAAAGTACTGAATACTGTGGATAAGGATGTTGTTTAAAGTGTCTCATTCAGGAACTCATTGTTAATGGTAAAATAAATGTCTCTGATGCACAAACAGTGTTAGAGCTTTTCATTTAGTTTCATTTAGTTTTTTCTTCTAGTTGTTTTAACTATGGTAATGTGTGCCCTGAAATCTGTGTATTTCCAGAACTCATCTTTAAAGAATGACCTCTGAAGGCATAGCTGTTTTTCTGTGAATGTTTATTTTTGTCCTGTGTTTTTCAGAATGGGCTGATGTCCGGCCTCATGCAGATTCTCCTGCTTAAAGTTTCAGCTCACATCACAGAGCAACTGGGTATGGCTCCCGGAGGAGAGTTCAGAGAGGCCTTCAAAGAGGTAAAACATGCACCAAAGATATGCATATCTAAAAAAGGTGGACAGTGGCTGTATATATTTTGTGTTTATTTTGTAATGTTTTATTCTTGAAGTTGTTCTTTCCTCACAGGCTGGACAGGTACCGTTCTGTAAATTTCACCTTGGCGACAGGCCGATCCCCGTGACGTTCAAGAGAGCCATCGCAGCTCTCAGTCTGTGGCAGAAAGCCCGTCTGGCATGGGGTCTTTGCTTTCTCTCTGACCCAATCAGGTAGCTTCATGTTTATTTTTTCGTACCACACCATTTTGTGAGACTTTCTTAATATCTATTACTCAATACTGCTGTCCACGAGAGAATAGAGAAGTGCTGTATTTAGACGTCCTGAGATGATCGAGAGGGAGATGACCACTAAATAGTCAATGTTTTGCCCTGGAAGAAAATGCAGCTCCAGCTAACTGACTTCTCGGTAGGATTAGGGAATGTGCGCCCACACATATCTTACAGCTAGCTGCATAAACTGTTTGTGAATCCATCTTTCGAGATTTCTTGAGCTTGCTATATTCTCTGCCAGGCAAGGGAGACCCAACCAGAAAATATGCTTTGAAGTACAGTATGTTAAATCCCAACAAATGTAAGCTGTCCAGTGTCCACCCATTGAGCCTCAGATTTGTTTTTCATTTCTAGACTGAAAACACAACAGGTTGGTCACGCTGTAAAAGGCTTCTCCAAGTGCAGTTGATTGCATCATTTTTTGCAATCTTGTATACAGACTTTTTAAAAGAAGGCATTAAAAAATGATTTAAAAAATATTAAATTGAACATGATTTGGAAAGAATTCTGCAGACTTCATCTGACCCAATCCTTTGTGAATGTTTGCTCCTCATCCTTTACTCTCAACTGTTGTTATGTGTTTAGTAAAGAGGACGTGGAGAAGTGCAAACAGAAGGACCTGCTGGAGCAGACCATGTCAGAGATGATCGGAGAGTTTCCTGCTCTCCACCAAACCATCGTGGCCGAGCGAGACATCTACCTCACACACACACTCCGCCAGGCTACACGCTGTGTGGAGACCCCCAGTAATGCCCAGAGTGCGTATACACCTTTAAAAAACATCTTGTCTTTTTATTTCAAGTTTTTAGCTCCCTAATCCTGTTCTTTATGTTTTCACCTTGTGTACATTATGGTTTTATTCACATCATAAAATACTGCTATTCATTTTGGTTGTTTTACATATACATTGCTCATTAGTCTTGAAAAATAAATGTAATTTTATCGTAATTCTTAAATAGTGCGTCATAATTGCGTAACTGTGCTTGATATAGATTTTCCTTAACAAGACGTGTCAACCTACTGTGTAGTGTATCTTGTGAAATGTGTGTTTCTAAATAGTTGCGTAAACAGCGGACCGTTAATGACAGTGTGGTTTGAATGCTACAGACGCTGTTGACCAACATGCTGAGTCATATTGTCTATAAAGAGGGTGGAACTGTTAACTTTACTTAGCTTAAAAATAAATGTTGAAATCATGGTGAGACCACAGGAATTGATACTTTGTGAATAATCTAGGCAATGTTCCTCATTAATTAATGCATTGTCAAAAAAGGGCAGTATCCAGACATTCAGGGCATTTATACTGAAATGTATCCCTGGTGGATTTTATGAAACATTTCCCAGTTGTCAAATAACCTTTTGGTTTTGTAGAAGTTTAAAGAAGTGTTGATTTTCTATGTAACAAAATATGTTATACTTCTTTTTCTTTTTTTTCACAGAAGTGCCTGCAGTGGTGGTGGGAGTCGTAGGGATGGGTCACGTTCCTGGCATCGAACGGAACTGGGAGAAGCAGCTCAACATAACTGAAATCATGAGGTGAGTGTGTTACATATCAGATGTAGACTGTAATAAAAACACTCACAGTTGCTGAATGTGTCCGTCTGTCTCTTCCTCAGTGTGGCGCCGCCCTCACGTTTCGGCTGGGTGCTGCGTACGGTCATAAAGGGCGTGGTGATGGGGATGCTTGGATATGCCTGCTACCGTGCTGGAGGGAGTCTGGGCCGAACCGTGCTGTCTTTACCTGCAGTCGAATCTTTACTGGAGACTATACGGCCACCCCCTCTTAGCCCACATGACCTTTGACCTATTAACAGTATGCATTTTTCACCAATGGCCTTAAAAACAGGTGGTTGGGCTGGGGGAAAGGTTTCATCAGCCCACGATATGAACTAACAAGGACCTCAGGGGGTTAACACCCCCCACCTCGTATTGATTCCCCTGTACACGCAGCAGGGCCGTACTGCCAAAGAAACCATGACAGTACTCTTTGTTTTCTTTCATATTTTGTGCAGACCCCGCATTTTGTAAGGTTTCCAAAGGCCAATATTTCCCTCTGAATATATTTACTTTACATACATAGAGTTTTTATTTGAAACTTATCAACAGATATATCATCAGTCAGGTGCCTGGATTAGACATTTTCTCACACACACTTTTTATTTGTCTTATTCCTTCCAATTTCAAGTCCAGCACTTTATAAGAGATTGTTATGGTACATGAAGCATATGGAGAGGAAAAGAGTGTCAAATATCAAGTCAGTCAAAACGTTCCTTTTACTCATTAATATAATCTAAGACTGAAGCAGCAAGTGACCCTCATGGTGTAAGGTAAATGAAGAAAATCTCTAAATTGGATGGCTGACCATCATTTTCTTAAATATTTTTAAAATCCACCATTCTTTAAACACACATAACACACACTTGTTTCCCATGTGCACAGATAAGTGCCTCATGGTTCAGCACTAAGGGCTAAGGGTGTACTGAATGGACTGGCAAAAATGTGTTAAATGCAGCTTATAAAGACAACAACCACAGGTCAATGCAATTTTTCTAATATACTGTCTTTATATAATTCTATATAAGGCCTATTTTATAAATACCGTTGCCCCAAATTGACTTTTGTTGTCTTGGCTTCAGATATGACACTCATGACTTTTACATGCATTAGGACCTGACGCAGGACAGGCATAAATGTGCCTAAGGATGAGCAACGCACTTGATAACATTTATATAATTGATTGTACCTCCAATATGAGGTATCCTCATGTGTTGGTTCTAACTGGCTCCATCGGTGACACATAAATATGCTTTTACAGAAAGACTTTTCTCAAAAATTCCACGAGAACGTCATTCAGCACACCAGCTGTTTGTACTTTTTATGATATAATTATGCATTATGACTTGCCTGTGTGATTGTAAATTAGCAATGGGTATTGAGATGATAAAAGAAACACAAGTATTTTGTTTCGCTCAAGGTGAGGACTGACCGTGATGATTTCTGAGTGGACATTTGTTACGGACATGTTTTGACTACTATGAAGGAAACGGACCGTTCAGATTGGTCAGAGTTGAGAGGTAAAGCCTTACACTGCTATCACTGCTGCCTTTGACCCTCAGATTGCCTCATCTGCTGAGGCTTTACAGTATATACAGTTTATACAGTATATACAGGTCCAACATTGACCTGTATCCATACAGAGCTGCTTATTGCATGTGTACAAATGAACTAAATGACATGCCGGGAGCTTTGTTATGTAAGAAATGTCCCAATAAATCCAAGACGATATACTGTACATGGTTGCAGTGCAATAAACCAACATAGATTTTTAAGGTATTTCCAATCTTAATGTTAAATGATTTTATGTACAGTACTGGAATTGTTTAGATCCAGTGGACTAATATTAGAATTAAATTAAGTAGTGCCACAAACATTATTGGGACCTCCTCAAGTTAAGCTAACTCATGTAAAAACCGTTCTTCCAATATATAAATCAAGTACTTTGCTCAAGTTAGAGAGGAGGATACCGGGAACAGATTATGTCATGCCTCTCGGTCCCTTGGCAGCATAAAACAGTCAAACTTAAACATATGTCTCTTCATCATTTCCAAAGGTTTAATTGCTTGAATTGTCAAGGGAAAACTGAATGCCAGGCTTTTCCGTAAAACGTACTTCCCCAGATCCTAATGTGGTGTTGTCATTGTTAAACCAAACATTACAACATAACTTCTGCAATTAATTATTAAAGAATTTAAGTAAATATTTACTTTTTTTTTAAAACCCTGCTTCATTATGTTAGCCCCAAAGATTGTAATGAACTCAATAAGGATTACGTTTCCTATGGACGAGTCATTTTGATGTATTAAAATAACATATACTGTACAGCTTTGTGGTGAAAATACATTTTAAAATGAGTGACTACACACAGACAAAGAAATGTCGCAAAGGTGAAACGAAGGTAGAGATTTAGAGGTTTCTGTTTTTGAATATAATAATCCATATACAATTATGATAGTAATCAGTTCAACAGCGCCATCATCTGGGTTATAATAGTCATTTGGTTTTAATTTCGGTAAAACATAGTTCCTTCTTTCCTGTTTCCGGACAAGTATTGATGTAACACAGTCCGATTACCAAACATCCGCTGTAGTTTATTGCAGCTATTATGAAAGCCGGACAGGTGACCACCACTTCGTAACACTGCCAGTGAACATACCCAGACAGATGGCCTTGTTTGAATGGCTTATTTAGCTCCTCGGCTTGGACACTTTCGCATCTTTAAGCACAGTGTGTCCGCGTGCAGGCTGCTCGGCACGGCCGGGATGGCCGACATGGGTCTGGCGCTGAGTCGGTCCCCGCTGGAGAGGCTCGACTTCGACAACGTTGCGCTCAAGAAACTTCCCCTGGACTCGTCCGAGGAGCCGGGGGTGCGGCAGGTGAATGGCGCGTGTTTCTCCCGGGTGAAGCCGCAGCCGGTGACCAAGCCTCGCTTCGTGGCGGTGTCTCACGAAGCTCTCGCACTGTTGGGGCTGAACGGAGAGGAGGTCATGACCGACCCGCTCGGGCCGGAGTACCTCAGCGGGTCAAGAGTCATGCCGGGCTCCGAGACCGCCGCTCACTGCTACTGCGGACACCAGTTCGGCCAGTTCGCCGGGCAGCTGGGCGACGGGGCGGCCATCTACCTGGGCGAGGTGAAGGTCCCTCCCGGCCAAGACTCCGACCTGCTCCGGGAAAACCCGAGCGGCCGATGGGAGATTCAGGTGAAAGGAGCTGGAAAGACTCCTTTTTCCAGGTAAACCGGGAGGTGTTACTGTGTCAGTTTGTGTTGTGTTAGCAGAATAATTTTTCCTTTACCATTTTAATGAAATACACCACAGATTACAAAAGAAAAATGCTGAGAGACTTTCCCTTTTTTCTATACAAATAAAAAATTTCGACAGCACCAAACAAGTTATTGGAAGCTAATTTACTTATAGGATTCTTGCTGGTCTGATATGTATCCCTAGTTAATTGCACAAATATGACTAATTTAAGATTAGAGTGTCAGCTAAATATAATAATCCTAATGAGTATATTGAAAATTGTCAAACGACCTATATTACTATCTGTATAATCAGGAACATTGTTTTTTTCTGTCTTTTCTGTGCTCCATAGACAAGCTGACGGACGTAAGGTCCTGCGCTCCAGTATAAGAGAGTTCCTGTGCAGTGAGGTGATGTTCTTCCTGGGTGTCCCCACCACCAGAGCAGGCTCCGTAGTCACCTCTGACAGCAGGGTTGTACGAGATGTGTACTACAGCGGGAACCCTCGTAACGAGAGATGCTCTGTGGTCCTCCGCATTGCCCCCACCTTCCTCAGGTGAGGCCCTGTTGTCCCCCTTTCATCTATCATAGTTTCTTTAGATGCACACACCTGAGTTGTTTATTTAAAATGTGCGTTCTCTGAGCAGGTTCGGATCCTTTGAGATCTTCAAGCAGGCCGATGAATCTACGGGCCGTCAGGGCCCCAGCTATGGACGTCATGAGATCCGAAGTCAGATGATGGATTATGTCATTGAGATGTTTTACCCTGAGATCCAGCGGAATCACCCAGATAGGGTGGAGAGGAACGTGGCTTTCTTCAGAGAGGTCAGGGCACACTCTCTCAACTGACAGCATACCCATTCCAGCCAGGAAACTGGCACTTGAATAAAGAATGAAATCTTTCCAAAGGTTTAATCAAATCAGCAGGCTGCCAGCTTCACGTTACATTTTGGAGCCAAGAACGCTTGGATCCTCTTATCCTGTTAAGCTGCTGTGGGTGGTTCAATAACAGAATCTGCTGAGTCACTGTGACCTATGAGATTAGGACAATAACAAGGCATTAAACTCTGGATGACATTTTCCTTATTTAATTAGTAATGAATCACATCATGCATACTTCCCAGTGGATGTATTCAGATGGTTCTGGATATTCTGTTCACCCCTCTTATGTTAGATGACTCTCTCCTCCCTGTTTGCAGGTGATGCTGCGCACGGCTCGACTCGTGGCTCAGTGGCAGTGTGTGGGTTTCTGCCATGGAGTCCTGAACACGGACAACATGAGCATCCTGGGGCTCACGCTGGACTACGGTCCATATGGATTCATGGACAGGTTAGACATTTGCGAGTTGTTTTGTCCAATTAGTCAAATTCTGTTGGTCCTGAATGGTTATTTAATATTTGAGTCAAAGGACCTGTTTATCTTTTCTGCGACAACCTATATACAGTCTCCTCCAAAACTATTGGAACTGTTTTGGACATAAAGGAGTTGGCCTCGCTGTTCCAATATTTTTGGAGAGGACTGTAGAAGTAGTTTGGAATCAGGACATCATAATACACATATTTCTGGATGTTTACAGTCTAATTATAAAACTCTACTTTCCTTTTCTTCTCAGGTTTGATCCAAATTTCATTTGCAACGCTTCTGACAACTCCGGCCGATACTCCTACCAGGCGCAGCCGGCTATCTGCAGGTGGAACCTGGTGAAGCTGGCGGAGGCTCTCGCTCCAGAGCTGCCACCGGACCGGGCTGAGGAAGTTGTGGATGAGTACCTCGATCTGTACAACGGCTTCTACCTGGAGACCATGAGGAAGAAGCTGGGCTTATTGAAGAAGGACGAGCCGGAGGATGAGATCCTGATCATAGAGCTGCTGCAGACCATGCACAACACAGGTGGGATATGAGTGGATAATCACTATATATCTGCTAGTAGGGCTGCCACGATATCACATTTTCTCTGCACATTTACTTTGATCAAAAGAATGAAGAATAACCATATATCTACAGAAAGAAACCCTCAAAATACTAGTGTAGACAGGGGAGGAAACAGTAATTTGATTGTGGATTTACGAGGCACTAGATTAGTTTCATTATATAATATATGTTTTATTGATATTACATTACATTCCATTTAGCTGAAGCTTTTATCCAAAGCGACTTACAATAAGTACATTCGACCAAGAAGATACAACCTTGAAGAAAACAGAATCATATAAGTACATCAGGTTTCATAGAGCCAAACATTTCAAGTGCTACTCAACTGGCTTTAGATAAGCCAGTCCTTTATTAGTATAAGTCCTTTGTTAGTATGTAAGTGCTTTGTTATATAAGTGCTTAGTTAGTATGTAAGTGCTTTGTTATATAAGTGCTTAGTTAGTATGTAAGTGCTTTGTTATATAAGTCCTTTGTTAGTATGTAAATGCTTTGTTATATAAGTGCTTAGTTAGTATGTAAGTGCTTTGTTATATAAGTGCTTAGTTAGTATCGAAGTGCTTTTTTTGGTGCTTTTTTTTCATTGCATTGCTCGAAGTGGTGTCGAAAGAGATGAGTTTTCAGTGGTATGATACAAATATTTAATTTCCAAATATAACTGTTATCTTAACAACCGCTTTATTGCTACAAGCTAATTACACAGTAATAGTCAGATGAGAGAGCTTTCTTTATTTTAGAGGCAAAAGGTTTGAGGATGTAATGTATACACACATTGCTGTAATGAAACATATTCCATCAATCACTTGAATCGCTTTTCTGTCCCCGTGCTGCAGGAGCTGACTTCACCAACACCTTCCGTAGCTTGAGTCAGATTTCCTGTCCCACTGAGGGTGAAGAGGAAGAGGAGCTCGTGAGGAAGGCCACAGAGCTCCTGCTGCAGCAGTGCGCCTCCTTAGAGGAGCTCAAGGCTGCCAACAAACCCACTATGGATACACGGTGAGCATGACATATTTTACAACCACACTCTGTGTTGGCGATATCGTTACATCACAGAATGGAAGTAAAACGCAGCTGAGATTTTAAGGGTGATTAGTAATAGAATGTAATATTTATTTATCTTTTAATTAATCACCATCATTTTCTGGTAACTGGTCATTAAAATAATGCATTTAACATTGTTAATTAAAATATTAATGACTAAAATGTAGATAATGGAAAAAATAAGTTTGATTTCACATTTTGCAGTACCAGTGTGGCTCACTAGGTTGCGTCCTGAGGCTCACCACTTTGCCGGCATCAGTGGTTCACATTAATGTGTGGAAGGCTCTTAATTATGCCTGGTATTATTAGCCGCTATTAAGGGAACATTGTAAACATCAGATTTAGAGAAATTAGTTACACTTTTAATCTGATTTCCTGCCTTACCAAATCTTTATTTTATGCATGTTGGTCTCGTCAGTGAAATAATCGTGTCTTTGTTCAGCTCACCTTGTTGCCTCAGATTACGTTTCTAACCACAGTTAAAACCTTGATTGCCTGTGCTGGCTGCACCGCTCCTCTGCTTTCTCCAACAGGCCAATAAAGATTCTAACCGTTGTGATTTCTGCCTGTTGTTGACAGTGAGCTGGCCATGCTGCTCTCCATGGCTCAGAGCAACCCAGCGCTGTTCCAGATGATCTCAGACAGGGCGACAATTGCGAGGCAGTTGGAGATACTCAGCAAACTGAAAGGCCTGATGGAGACCAGCCAGGAAGAGCTGCAAAGCAAACATGCGGAGGACTGGAGCGGCTGGATCACACGCTATAGGTGAGGGGGAACATTACTACGCAGAGAGAGGGGGAAAAGGCGAGGTATGTGAAGGAAATGATGAGTAAGAACAACAGCTGGCATATGAAACAAGGAGTAGAAGGTGGAGGAAGAGGATAAGAGATTTGTTGGTGGGTGGATGGTGATGGGTGGAAGTGTGACTGATAGGGGGGGGGGGACACACACAGACAGACAGAAAGAAGAGGAAACGGGCTGTTGAGTCCGACATGGCTCCACCCTCTGACTGTTATGTGTTATCACCCCCTCAGGAAGCGTCTGGCACGGGAGCTGGAGGGCCAGAGCGATGTGAGGGCGCTGCAAGAGGAGAGGGTGAGGGTGATGGACAGCACCAACCCTCGCGTGGTACTCAGGAACTACATCGCCCAGAATGCAATTGAGGCTGCTGAAAATGGAGACTTCTCTGAGGTCAGGCTTAGATCCGCTGTGATGCTTTTGACCTTTTGGTTGAAAAACTTGAAACCCTGAATGTCAAATTAACTTATCTTTGTTTAAGTTTAAATTAGATTAGATTAAATTAGAGTTTAGAATAACTATGTTACTGGAAAAAACGTTTTTATACAGGACCTCCATTTTTGCATTGCTAGTAGTTTCAGGGTAGCAAAGCAAAGATTACAATACATTTAAGGAGATATTCAAAAACATAAAAACATCGGTAGCACTGGACTCAAAAAGCTCTTTGGTGGGAAAGAAGAAAGTTCCAGGACACTATTCTTTCATATAGTAAAACATTTTTTTGTAGACGACTATTAAGTTATTCATGCTTTGTGAACAGCCTGGAGAAGGTTGCTCCTGCTGCTACATATTGGTTGTTAACACAGCTCAATGATAGCATGAATAAATATGAAATAGCCATATGAATGACATTTTACTACCATTTTGCCATAAGAGTGGCTTGGGGCTGTCTTCTTTTTGACACTTAAAGGGATAGTTTGGTTGTTTTTAATTGATTTTGTATGAGGTACTTAAACATATTCAATATATATCCTAGAGTTGCTTTAAGACCTTTGGATGTGAGCATCAGAAACTTATTTTCACCAGCTAAAAAAAGCTCACCAAAATAATCTGTAAAGTTTATGCTATATTTAGCACTGCTTTACCTTGCTGTCAGACAGCTACTTCTGATGAGGAAATAAAGCAATTGTATTAATCTATGCTGAAAGCCACTAATCCCTTGGTTCTGCAAAGTAAAAAGGGTTGCTTTGAAAAGAGTATAGATGGATACAACAGCTTCAGTTCCCCTTCAGAAACACGGATTGTAAAGTTGTCTCTAGGCAAGATAAAGCAGTTTAAATATTCTAAATATAGTGTACACTGATAAAGATTGTTTTAGGTGGATCAAATACATGTTGCTGCTTCCCCTGACCACAGCAGCAACAGTCCAATATGGTCAGCTTTTGTGTGTTCACCAAGCATGTTGACCGCCATCTAACTTGACTACCTAATTTGACCCTACTCACAAACATTCAGACTATCCATTTTAAAGGGGACCTATCATGCTAAATGCACTTTTTTATGTCTTTTATACATAAATATGTGTCCCCAGTATTTTGAGCAAAACACTTCATAGACATGTTTTTTATATATTTCTACATATCTGAGACCTATGCTATTGCCTAAAAATAGCATGATAGGTGATCTTTAAGTTACCCTCAGTTCCTCTGCTCCCTTTAGTGTTTCACTTTCAGGGTGTTCACCTGCTCTCACTTCCTCTCTGTGCTACAGGTCCAGCGGGTCCTCAAAGTTCTGCAGAAGCCTTTCTCTTCACAGCCCGGGCTGGAGAGTCCTGCCTGGGTGGGCCGAGGCCAGACCACCGACCAGGGGGAGCGGGATGAAGAAGAAGAAGAGGAGGAGGAGGAGGAGCAGCAGCAGCAGCAGGAGGCGGCGGCAGCGGCGGTATCTTCATCTTCATCAACAGCCAGAACTCCTGTTCCCTACGACAGCAAGCCCCCAACCTGGGCCAATGAAATCTGTGTCACATGATCTTCGTAATAACTTCCTTGATTGTTTCCTGCCTAAAATAATGAGAGAGGTATAAGGCGTTTTAAATATGTTTATGTCTGTACAACTCTTTATTACTTGGGCAGGCAGCGTCTTGGAAGTTAGCATGAGGCGCGACACCCCACAGGTTACCCAACTCTTACAAGGCAGACAGGGAGATTAATTGGTGCACAAAAGCAAATACAAATATGATATATGCTTAGGTTATATGAAAAGCTTGTCTCTGTAACTGAAGATTGCAGGACAATGGATTTAAAGTCCTTCTTATATATGATTGGCTTTAACATCAAAAGTAATCTATATATAAGAAATTTGGTTCGATGAGTGTTTTTGCTGATCCCCTTGAATGCAAGACGCATTAATGGTGGCAAAAACATGACCAATAAACATGAATGGCACAAAATAATAATAGTTTGAAAATGCATCAAAATGCATTTTTGAAGAAAAACTGTGACTACACTAAGAAGCCAATCAGATCGTTCCCTGCCTGCTTGGGATTTGTTTAGGTATTAATGACGACTCGGGCATCAAGTCCTTCAGTGACCTGTCTGACTCTGAAAAACTGTGGGGTGTCACCTCAAAAGAAACCAAAAAACAACATGTGTGAGAGAGAGAGAGAGAGAGATATGATGATTTTAGGAATGTATTTGTGTGAATGGTTATGATCCAACAAGCCGCAGTTGATAAACATGCACAATATTCTCCTGTTGTAGAAACATTTGCCTTTTCCATTGTCACAGCACCACTTTATAACCTAGAGACGACTGTCGAGCAAAGTAGAAATCGGGTTTTGAAAATAAAACGTTCTAAGGTGAAGTTTATTGCAGTATGTGGCATAAATGTGACCCTAATTCATGAATTTGTTTTAACCGTGATGCCTCAGCGCTAATAATAGTTTGCCATATCTGAAAGAGGGTTATTGTGTTAGTTTGTCAATAAAAATGATTTTATAAGTCAAAAAAAGCTGGACTGACAAATTGAAACCCAATGAGGATTAGTTCCAGAGTTTTATTTTTCCTTCAAAATTATGAAATATGTTTAATCTCTTCCTTAACAATAGCCTTAATACAAATACAGACCTCACATAGCTTTTTTATTCATTTAAAGAACTTTTTATGTTTCTGTGTTACATAACATAATTGGATTACTGCACACAAAAACATCCTGAAACGTGTCTTCTGTGTGTAAATGTCACATGGACTAAGCTTACACAATGTGACACAAGTTTGTACATAACGCCACAGTTTCCTTGTTCTGTTTCCTGGAAGTCTGTCACAGAGTAGTATTTATGTAACCACCTATCAGTGTTTACAGCCCAAGGCGTCAGAAACACTCATGTCCCAGCAAGTCTCTCAAATCTTCTCATTTTACTCATGCTCAAACAACGTGGAACATGCTAATCGCTGCCACTCAAACCCAGCGCATGTGCGAAACGCTGCTCTCCAAACTGTGCGCACTTACAAAACGGTTTCAAGGTAATGTTGTTGTCGTCAGTCGAGTCTCGTATTACTCGCACATTCCATTCTCCCGTTCACCTTTAATTCCAGGCCTCCCGCAAGACTCGGGAGTGGCTATGGGTGACCTCAGGGTGCGCCCTTAGCGGCTGACACGCAGAGCTGCGCACTGATCTAGGGTGAGCGCATAGGTGGGATCTGGGACTTGGGTGTGTAGCGTCGCAGTAGACACAACAACAAAGGAAGAGCCTCTACAATACTTTTTTGTTTACTTTTTATATATAGCATGTCTAAGCGAGTGAGACCCGGCTATTACCGCCAAGAAGTCAACAAAACGTCATGGGAAGTACCGGATCGGTACCGGGAGCTGAGGCAGGTGGGGACCGGCGCTTACGGGACAGTATGGTGAGTGAATTATGCGTTACATGGAGACGAGTTATACTCTGATCGTAATGCGGGGTGAGTGGGGAGCAGTGTAACAAAGAAAGGGACGGAACAGATGGTGCCATGCAGGCAGAAGCTCTGTGCCACAGCCAAACAAAAGAAAAGTATCTGCGCTCCGCTGAACACACGCTGCTTCACTTCCTTATATGATGGAGACACTTGCACATGATACCTTTCGCTTTACCGTAGACTTCCTGTCATCTTTAGCCACCTCTGAAAGGTTTTTAATTATGAAGAGCACATGGGTGCATGGTTCCGGGTGAAATAGGTGCACTCACAACCCGAGTTTAGGGATACACACAACAATGAAAAGCAGCTTTGTTTGCACCTTTGTGCGTCTCGCAGCATGCGGCTCCTTTGTTATCAATGATTAACTCTGGGGGCGGGTCCTACTGCCCCGAGGACTCAATACAACTTAATAACACATGAACAACTCCGAGATATTGTTGGGATATGAAACAAGCTTGTGTGCGGGCCTGATCCGAAGAGTCTAAGGTGTTATTGTCAGTTACAGAGTATTTGTTGGCAATTAAAACTCCTTTCACGAGTCAACCGACAATATACTTTAAGAAATAAAAAAAGTGCAAGTGACAAGGGTGCATGTAAAATGAAGGAAGTATGCTATTACACAGAAGTAGGAAGGAACTAAGGAGCTGTTGAGATATCTGTACGTTACTTGAGTATTTCTAATGTATGCTACTTTGTTCCTTTGCACCACTCCAATTCAGAAGTAAAGTGTATACTTTTACTACTCTGTATTAATTTAATACATTTAGTTACTTGTCAGATTTGTATTAATGATGTGAAATACAATCAACACTTAAATCAGACTTTAGTTACACCTGGAGTAAATTCACAAGCTACCCTGCAGTATACTACCAGCTTTTGATAATCAAAACATATAATATATATTATTCTGAAATGGACCAATCTGCATAATGAGTACTTTTACTTTTGGTACTTTAAGTGTATTTTGATGCTAATACTCTTGTACTTACATGAGTAACATTTTGAATTCAGGACTTTTACTTGGAACAGAGTATTCCTACACTGTGGTACTTCTACTGACTCAAGTACAATATCTGAGTACTTCTCCCACCTCTGTTAGACAAGAAAGATACTGTGTACCTTTTTCAGATTCATATCAGAGCAAAGTTGTTTCCACAGTGACAGAATATTCAAATTGGATTATTATTTATTTCCTCATCAGTCAGTTCAGTGTAAGATATTAAATGTGCTGTGTCACACCCTCTGATTTATTGTCACCCTCAGCTCAGCAGTGGACTCCAGAACAGGAACCAAAGTGGCGATCAAGAAGCTGTACAGGCCTTTCCAGTCGGAGCTCTTTGCCAAGCGGGCATACAGGGAGCTGAGGCTCCTCAAACACATGAAACATGAAAATGTGAGTCAGCATAATCAGGCTTTTTTAAATATTGTATTTTTACAGTTTGTACTAAAGACAAAACCTCCACTGGTGTAATAAATTGTGTATTTCTGTCTGTTGCAGGTGATCGGACTATTGGATGTGTTTACTGCTGACCTCTCTCTGGACAGGTTTCATGATTTGTAAGTCTTCTTTATGCTTCTGGCACTGTAGCACAGCAGCTAGCTATTAAATCAATACTTCACACCCCAAAATGACCCCTGAAAGGATCAATTATCATCCCTTGAGAAGAACATTTGAAGAAAAATCCAAGTCCTATTATCCAGTTGTATACTCACTACTTCCCAAATACATGCATTTTTATTTAAACCTCTTAAAACGCAAATGGAATGTATCTTCTCCTGTTATTGTGTTATGTGTAGGAAAAACCAATAAATAAAGTGTTTTTAAAAATAAAAAAACACTAATGGCATAAACAGTCTAACGCTTGTGAAGGCACGCTTCAAACACGTTTATGTGGAACTGTTTTAAATAGTAGCTCTTTAGCAAAAATGCATGTGATTTGGAGGTGTTGACTGTATGACAGTCTGTTAATAGATGTTGTGGTGTATTTTACTGTAAATAAATGTTGAAGATATTTCAAAGTTGCATCCTGTTGATCATGTTTCCTTCTTCCTGAAGTTACCTGGTGATGCCGTTCATGGGGACAGACCTGGGGAAGCTGATGAAGCTGCAGAAGCTGTCAGAAGAGAAGATTCAGTATCTGGTGTATCAGATGCTCAAAGGGCTGAAGGTGGAGAGCTCTACTTTGATCGTACATTGGGAACTATTTATTCCTTTAAAACTTGAGTTTATTTTTTCTGCTTAAATCCCTGTTTTATTCTTTTATTACAGTATATTCATTCTGCTGGTATAATTCACAGGGTAAGTATTTTATTATTTCATATACATCCATTACATCCATACATCCGTGTGAGATAATGGTTGCTTTTATAATAGGGCTACAATATACATCAATAATATATATCAATTCAGTTTCGTCAAATGTCCCTGTCCTTTCATGTTATGGCTCGTTTTGTTCACTTTTTTATATAAACATTTCCATAAAAGAGATTAAATGCACAATAAACAGATATTGACCAAACAGATAAAGTACCAGCAATACTACTGCAACATTTACTTTAAAGGTGACATGTCATGCTTTTCCGGTTATTACCCGTCCCCTTGTGTGTTATGTAGCTTTTTATGCATGTAAACGGTCTGCAAAGTCACAAACCCTTAAAGTACACCCTGTAGCAGGTACAACTCTAACACAGAAAACACCTGTCTATGCTGCCCCAGAACGCCTCGTTGGAGATTTTTCTTTTTCTTCCTGGTACTAAGTGACCTAACAACGACCCAAATGGACCCATTGGTCCAAATGGACTAATCCACGGAGCAGTTTTGTTACGTCCGCGGAGCCGTTTGGACCAATCAGCGGACTTCCTCACACGCACACACTCAATCTTTTCACAGCTGCAGCTCCGGGGATTTAATAAGACGGCGGCACGCGGCAAGGCCGCACACAGCCTCGCCGCGTCCCGCCAGGCTGCGGGTGTTTGAGTGTGTGTGCTCGGGCTGGGTTTCGCTGTGTCTCGCTGTCTTGCCGAGCCCACGCGGCAACCAGGAAACCACACCAGTATCCCAGCTCACACTGTCCGCTCCTCGCAGCAGCGAGCCGCGCAACGTCCCGCCAACACCCAGACCCCACGCAGCATTCTCATCTGTTTGTCATTACTGGTGTCATTTTCTGGTTGCTAACAAACGCCATTGAAACAAATAATCACTGATGTTCCCGCTGTAACGGTGGTGGACTCATCAGAACAGAGTGGGCGAGCTGACCAATCAGAGCACACTGGGCTCACAGGGAGGGAGGGGGTGCAGGAGCTCCAACAAGCCGTTTAGGACAGAGAGTGAATACACATACTATACAGAGATGCTGTATGAGAAACCAATGTGAGTTTGGAAAATTGCACAATATAAATCTATTCTAGTAGACCTCAACAATGGAATTATGATCAGTAGAAATGGCCATGTCATGGGACCTTTAAATTCTCTAAAATAATGTAATTTTCAGGTACTTCTTTTTGTCCACAATAATTTGTAGTGAAAATCTATGACAGCCCGTTCACACATTATCTTATTGGTAATAGTTGCTTCCTGTGTGATCTTATGCCCTACTCATTTACAGTATTTAAGTTTCCTCTTGCTTTTCTCTTCACACAATTTTTTCACATTCATTTTTGCAGGATCTTAAACCAGGAAATCTCGCCATCAACCAAGACTGTGAGCTCAAGGTACAGTGACACACTGTGATAACCCAAACAAACAACATGTGTCTTCATTTTAAGATGTTCATTTGACGGAGTTACATTTTAAAAGGGAATATTCAAAACTATAAAAATCCTAATTGCATTGCCCATAATGTCATTGCGCATTTTTTGACAAGTTCCTACAGTCTTATGACCAGACGTGTTAGCTCATTATAAGCAATATGTAAATGCTGCTGTGTTTCACTGCGTGTCCTGTCAGATCCTGGACTTTGGTTTGGCGCGGCAGGCGGACAGCGAGATGACGGGGTACGTGGTGACTCGCTGGTACAGAGCCCCAGAGGTCATCCTGAGCTGGATGCACTACACTCAGACGGGTAATGAAGAGCTAATTAAAGAGAAAACTCTCTTTCATCTTTCAACGATGTGTCATCTTCCGTGGTGCCAATTAGCGCTGAATCATGTTCTGTTAGAAGATGCTGCATGACTTAGTTGTTGAAGTTTTCGCACTTGTCCTCAGGCAAAGGGGTCTGCCTTAGCAAGTGATTTACCACATATCCCAGAATTACCTTTACCACCTGCCGTCAACAGGCTGAGTCTTGTTCTCAGTTACTTTGATTCCTTGCTAAAGACTATGATTGCAGTACATTCTGGTCTATTGAGGCCTTCAGTGCATTCCTCTTTCATGACTTTTCTCTGAAATCCCTCCTAGAAGCTACAAAATGTTACATTTTCTTGGGTACGTGTGTTAAAAAACTTCTTTGTTTGTTAAAGTCAAATGGTAATAGTAAATACAACCCACTCAACCACACATCACCTTTTATTGCTGCTTTCTTTAGGTACTGCATATTGCTGCTGGCCCCTGGCCCACAATGCACTGTTATTTGAAATCCCTTAAGAAGGCATCAGAAATTCTAAAATGTGTTTTTTTTTCTCCTTCTTTCCCAGTGGACATTTGGTCTGTGGGCTGCATCATGGCAGAGATGCTGCAAGGAAAACCTCTTTTTAAAGGCAGCGACCGTATCCTTTAACCACACTGAACCTTTTCAGTTTATATTTTTGCAGACTCAACATAAATCTTGGATTATTTAAAAAATGTTTGTGTGACTAATCCCATTTGACCCCTTGACCCCTGGTCCTCAGATCTGGATCAGCTGAGTGAGATCATGAAGCTCACAGGAACGCCAACTCAGGAATTTATATCAAAACTACAATCTGAGGATGTGAGTACACATTATACAACACACAGGAACTTAAAAGGACCGTTCAGCCCAAAATACTAAACACATATTTTTCCTCTCACCTGTTGTGCTTTTTAACAATGTAAATAGTTTTGGCAACATTTTCAGACTTAAGGATATCCCCCGCAGATACATCTTCCTCCTCTCGACTGATGGAACTAAACGGCACTTGGCTTGTTGTACTCAAAGCGCCAAAAAAAATACAACACAAAAACAGCGCTGTCTCTTTCCAGAAATGATGAATGAATTTTCATGTAGAAACTATTTTCTTTCTACCAAACTGCGCTTCAAAGGAAGTTTGCAACACAAGAGGTTCATGCTCCTTAGAGTGTGAGATGTTAACATTAATGGCGTCCTCCTCGGCTGAGCTGTAACATTGCAGTTTGGAAGAGTTTAAGAGAGCTTCTTGTCTGAGTAGATGTGCCCTTCCTTTTGCTCAGTGATATGGTTGGTGGGTGTAGTTTACTTTTTATTGAGAGATGAACTGTCCCTTTAAAGATAAACTCCCTGATTTTGTTGTAGCCCCCAATCATGCCCCCGATCCGCAAAAAGAATTAAAAGCAAAATGGAGTTAAATCAGTGGGATTATGTTGCATTAAATACATTAATTTCTTTTCTTAGGCCAAATGCTACATCAAAAGCCTCCCAAAACTGGAAAAGAAAGACCCTCAGAAAGCCTTTTCCACAAATAATCCACAAGGTAGGCTTGGCTCAGCCTTTTTTCATTTGATCCATCTTCAGTTCGACAGTAAAACTGTGATTTGACCTCAAGTTTCCACTCTCTCCTCAGCCGTGTCAGTGCTGGAGCGCATGTTATTGCTGGATCCGGAGAGCAGGGCAACGGCTGCTGAGGCCCTCATGCTGCCTTACTTTACTGAGTTCAGAGAACCAGAGGAGGAGACGGAAGCACAGCCATACGACCACTCGCTAGACAACACAGACCAGCCCCTGGACCAGTGGAAACGTAAGGATGGCGGGGAGGCAGGGACTGATAATGGTGCAAGGGAGCAAAAGAAATGGAGGCTGAAAGAGAAAGGGAGCTGTGAGATAAGAGGTGTATGTTTTAATGATCAGCACTGTGCTTCTTTCTTTAGGTCATACCTTCACAGAGATCTTGACCTTCAAGCCAGTCATGCCAGAGTCCAAGGAAACCTCGCTGTAAGACACAAAGACTCAGCTGAGCAGCATGGGACCAGAACAAACTAAAACTCTTTTTTTTATCTTGATCTGAAAACTTTTGTCACAAGGCTTATTAAATGCAAGTGGATCCAGTCACACTTCTCTAATAATTGCAAGCTGCCATGTTCAGGATTTTACAACGTAATGTTGGACCAGTTGCTTACTTCCTGACTTCAGAACCTGTCAATGCCAGCATGTCAGTCAGGATCTCCTCAATCCTCAATAAGTAATTAAGTAATGCAGGGATAACAAGTGGTATTACTTGAGTTACTTATTTAAGTTCCATTTCAGTTTCCCTTCAGTGGTATACATATAGTTTTCACCAAATACATCACAAGCTTCCAGTTGGTTTGAGTTCAAATCAACTACATTAAAGAAAACAAAGATATTTCAGTCAACTTATTTGTAAAATGTCTGTTTAATATAGATGATTATTTTTGAGTAATGTATATCCGCTAAGGCATCATTTACATGTTATAGATCCAGGACAAGGCCACACGCTGTAAATGTGAAAAAATGAGGATACGTGTTTTTGTAATATGATGTTTTGTGAACTAGCTTCCCCTTCAGGGACTTGATGTCCTCGAAAGACATTTGATCGGAATTTTGGACGTCCTTGTGTGCATGTGTGTGTCTGTGTGTAGTCTACAGGTCTGCTCTGACCTCCTTATTCATATCAGTGGCCTTAAGATAACTGCAAAACAATACTGAGCTGCCGGCCATACGAAATCCATCCCAGCAGCCTATGTACGATCATTCACTTTTTCATTTTAAGCCAAAAACTGGCTTACACTGGATAATGTTGTTTTTTCGTAACACAGAAAGAAGCACAAAACACATTGTCTTTGTTCATTTTTGCACCGGTCATGCATTTTTGTCAATAAAGAATATCTTAGAAAAATTGCCTACATTATTTTGTTCTTGTTTTCTGACAACCAAACCTTTGTTGTGTTAAAACTGTGGACTAATACTAGTGTAAAGCTGGGGGGTTTACAAGAGATGAGATATCCGGGTTTTCAGTTTTAAGGGGTCGATTGTCAAGCTCTGAAAGGGCAACCTGGGGAAACTACATTTCCCATAATGCAAAGAACAGCATATTTTCAGTAATCGTTTTTGCTGCAGGATTTCTGCTAAAACGTTCCAAAGCATGATAGATTAAACTTACAAAAGTCACATGTATATAGGTTAAGTAGGCAACTTTTCCTCTTTTAAAGATAACATTTAGGGATTTATCCTGTAGTCGAGTTAAGGCATACATTTGACTTGTGTGTTACTCTTGTAAACTAACACTAGGTGGCAGCACATAAACAAGCCATGACCAGGCTACGTTTGTAGCTCTCGAGGGATAGTAATGTTGAATGGTCCACCACTTTAGTCTACATCTTGACAAATACTGGCTTGTATTCCATGGTATCTGCTTCAAATACTTCATATTCTTATAATGTTGGGAATCCTCTGACTTTTAATCAAGTGCGACCAGCATTTAAGTGTTTGTTTATCCATTATAATATTTCAACATCTTGTTGACATTCAAGGATATTGCACAGGCCTAATATGTTCTGAATATGTTGACCCCCCAAACTTTTCCACTTCAGGTCAAAACTATGTCAAATAATTCAGTATGAGACTTAATACCTCCAAAATACCAACATTCACATAGGTGTCAGCTGTAGCTCCTATTCTTTGTTTAATGCTGAGTAAATATTAGCAGGTTGAATAAGAATAGGGAGCATTTCATGTAGATTCAGACCTCAGCATGCACTGTCACTGTGAGAATGTTAGCATTCTTGTCGTGAGCAGTTTGCTCACAGAACCTCAGTCTCTAAGCCCCTTTCTTGTTATTCTCCTTTTGGAAGATAACACTTGTCACAGTAGTTGTTGGGAGTGATTTATTGTTTTGCAGCTAACACTGACAATCTTATTTTTGTTTTTAATATGATTAATGACTTCAAGTAACAAACGTCTGCATTCTTCCAGAAAGCCTGTTTGCTTTTAGATGCTGCTCATTCCTGCACATAGGCTCTCCATTGGTGGGTGTTGAATTTAACAAGCTTGTCTTGAGTGACCTCCAGATCCTTGACTCCCAAGGGCAACTCCCCCCCCGAGGACAAACTTCCGTCCTGAGCTGAGCTTCTACCAAACCAAATGTTGTGTCCTCCTCATGATACACAGTGGATAGTTCACCAAGAAGTCAGAGAGTTCTGTTCCTGCTGCAGACACGAAAACAGAGGGGAAAGACATTTTTTTTATCCCCACAACCCCTGCTCTCCCACACATGGACCGACTCCCTCGTTCCGTCCGTCTAGTTTGTTGACCCTGCGGTTTATTTTCAGAGCAAGGATTTAAGCAGCATATTTTCTGAGAAACATTCACAGAGAGTTCACATGTGTGCACCCAGATATGCCTGGCATGCACAGTTGGATACACACTTTAGACACTGACTCAGGAGGGAGTACACGTGGAATGGCAGCGATGCCCAAACGCTGATCTGACCCGGGTCACCCTTCTTTCTTAAAGGGGAACGTCAGTTATTACTGTTTATTTTACGGTCTGGGGGAGGCACATCACTGTAGACATCACCATGGTGAGAGGATCAACACTGTCTTTGCTAAGATTCTTCTTCATGGTTAATTCTGCTTCCTGTGTTTGAAAGATGGAACTTTATTTTATAGCGGGGATCATTTGCAAACTGTTCAGTTTGTCTCATTTGTCTCACAGTATGGACTCCGCTAGCTGCTGATTAGATCAAGAAAAGCCAACACTGTCGCTTTATTACCATGCTGGCTCATCAAATTAATTAAGATCATCAGTGACATTGTTTATTCTCAAACTCATTTGGGCTGTGATGTCCTTGCAGGAGATAAAATAAACAGATTTGAGGGCTTAGCAGAGATAAATTGATTGGAATCTTGCGAGGAAGTGAAGTGAAAATCTATCAAATATTTGAATGTCCTTGTCTATGTTTGTTTGTGGGCTTTAGATTCATGATTTCAGATTGTAGGGAATGTGACGTGCCTGGTTCCAGATGCCAGTTTGGATTTGTGTTGCTTGTACTCTGTGGTGAATTAACAAATGTCTGCACTTCCTCATAGCTTCATGTGTAATGGACGTTGTTAAAAACACAGATGAGAGCTCAAACAGTTTTAGCCAGAAACAGCTTTGATTGTGCGTCTAATGTGGATTTAGTCACATTTCTTTGCCCTGACAGCTGTCCAACAACTCAAGTCCAAAATACATTTTCCACATTAAAAACAGAGGAAATGCTGCTTTGTCATTTCCCAAGCTATTCTATTTATTTGCTTTAGTGAATGAGTGTTTAGAGCTACCCAGATCCAGCATTATTATTTTTTGTGTATCTGCCTCAGTGTTTTGTGGTGTGTGTATGCAGTACTCGGCTGGGCCTGTCATGTCTGGAAGTCAAGCAGTTCCAATAAAAGTGAGTCCTGTTGCCTGGTGTACTGTAGCTGAGAGTCATCATTTGTCAAACCTTTTCCCCCCTCAAACCTTTTTTCTGTCCTTACAGGTGTTTAAGTCTCTATCTCTTCCCCGATCTATTTACATTGAAGCATACGTGTCTGTGGGATGCTCCTCAGCAGGCGAGCAGTGCCTGTCAGGCTAACCGAAGAAGAAATTCCACAGGCTCATGTGAGTCTTAAAGTCTCCCAACTTTGAGGGGGCACCGGGCTTTGGGTGGGAAAGAAAAGGAAGTAAATTGGGAGGTTAAGGAAGTAATGATAAGACAGGGGAAGGGTACAGGATTGGAACAAAGTGAGCAAAAAGAGGAGGCAGGCATGAAAAGACAGGGTGGATAAAAGCAAAGGAAGGGGAGAAAGACAGAGAGATGCAGAGGCCCTGAGGGAGAGCCTATCTCAGCCAGAATGGGCAGTCTAGTTTACATTAGCTCATTCATTAGCCATCCGCCCTCCTGTTTGAAGACTTCTAAGGAATATGAAGTGCAAAGAGTGCATGCCACAGATTTTGATCCCTCTCCCAGGATAACTCTGTGTCCATCTGTGATGTGTTGACGTATGGGGCTGTGGTGTGTCACGTTCAGAGAGGCATGGCAGCGTTAAAGAGCACTGAAACCCTTCTGACCCAAAGGAGCCAGCTGCAGAACCAAGACAAGAGTTAAAGACTCCCTTACTGCTCACTAATGAAGAGTTAAAGCACATCTAAGTATCACAGTCTGAAGTGTCTGTTTTGTCTAATGCATCATCTTCAGAGTAAAAGCATTAAATGTTTTTAGACCTTTTGCTGCTGAACTGTAGCGGTTGTTATATATGGAAATACATTATTTACGTGATAGTTTCACCAGATCCATAACAGCTTATTGTTTGTCTCCTATTTGATTTTCTGTCCACATAGCTTGTGAATAATTCCCTATCTGGCAACCAAGATAAGGTGATGGATTAAGTAATGTAAATACGTTTTATATTTCCAAAAGTAGATTTTTAAGGCTGTGTGCAATTACTGAACACAATGGCTTCCAGAATTAACATTTTAAAAATGGAACTGTTATGAATATTTGTAAGCAGAGGATACACAAGGATGTGGATTTGGTTTGAGAAGTTAAAGGTGGTGCCATCAGAGGGTCTTAAATCATAAAAAAAAGAGGGTTGGAGGATGAGAGTGCCATCATCTACATACACTATGAAACAATATGTTGTGGTGCTTACCATACAAACTGCAACAAAAGACTATACACATTAATTTTATTTTTGATGCAATCACCCTTCTTAAAATCACATTTAGTTCCCCCAAAAGAGACCTGATACATATTTACTAAAGAGAGCACTATCCTTTGCTGCCATATCTCTGATTGATGTATGCTAGCCTATATTATAAAGAAATGCAGTAAAAAATATTTGAAAACATGTATATGGTGGTAGCAGATGGTGGTAGCACATTTCCTAGTACTGAGTCTTGGCTTCCTTGGGGGTAAAAGAGTGCATAAATAACAATGTTGCTAATAAAGCTTGTTGCTGTGAAAACTAAACTTCAACTATAACTCAACTGTGCCAAGGGGGACATTTTTCTTGCAGCCCGGTATAACACAATACACACAGAGACTCATAAATACCATAATAAATACATAAATATTCAGTGTGACATCACTAAAACCATTATCTTAGCCCCAAAAGGTTCACTCAATGAATCATCACTTGGTTCAGTTATCATTTTACAGCTTGGTGACGTGATAAGCATATTCATTAGCATATTATTCAACCCCCTCTTCACTCATCTTAATTTTGGCAGCCTGACAGTCAGAGGACATTACTTCAGAGATGTTAGTGGGTAACTCACACAAACACTGTATAAGTAGGGAGAGAAAAATGGAACAGTAAACATGTGCCAAAAGCACACCATATAAGGTTGTGAAATCTGACTTTGGAGTATCAAACGCTCACCCCCTGTTGGCTCGAAAGGTGCCTGTTAAATGTTTTCCTCTCCAGCAGGGAACAGCAGCTTGAATTCATTCTGTTAAAATGGATTCCAAGGGTGACATGAGCTTTCATAGTGGGGAAAAAAACAGCCACAGGAATTTCTCAAACATGTTGTATAATCGACTTCTCTGTCAGTTTATACCTTTTTATAACGTTGATCTTAGCATAACTTACAGTGAAGAAAACCAGAAGCCTAGCGGATGTTCAAATGTGTCCTTATGACTCCCTGCAGGTGAGCTCACCTTCAGCTTTAAAGCGAGATGACTTTTATAACAGCCAGAGGCAGACTCAGATGATAAATCCTGATAGATTTTACGGTCAAGTGGACACAAGTCCCCAGCGGTGACCTCAGCAGTGACTTCATCGGGGGTCACAGCTTCCTGAACGTTACCCTTCACTACTTGCGATAAACAAGGCAGGACAAGGGCTCCAGCTGAATCATGGGTAGGACCTGACTCTGAGGGCAGATGTCACAGTATATCACAGAGCCTGTGTTTCTCTTTTTGTATAGAGGAGAGCAGCTTCTGCGGCCAGGTCAAGGTTAGAAGCAACCTGAAATGTCATGCAAAGGGAGCAGGAAGTGAACAGAAGCAAGATTGAGAATAAACAGGCGTTTGCTTTAAAGTTCCCACCTCGTAACCTTATATAACTGAGTGTTACAATATAACACCTAACGTTATCCAGATCTAAATTACTTATCTACAAGCTGAGCAAATGCCAGATTGCTCCTATTGTGTTGCACCCGCTAATAAAATGATGAATTGTTTTCCCTCCACTCTCTCGTTTGAATGAGGTGAAACTGAAAAGCAAACAGGCATTACAGCACAATGGTGGATGAAAATGTACCGAGAAGTCAAAGCCCTTAAAGTCAGTTATACAAGCCGTCAAAATCTTCTGAGTCCCCCCAGCTTGATGTGTTTAGAGCTGATGATTGCTTTCAGTTGTAAAGCCTTACTGGGGCAAAACAGAAAGCGTCACATTTTTTCCTTACAAAACCGAGGCCTGCTGAATTAAGGAAACTTGCAGACGCACATGAATCGGTGGTATGGCAGTGAACAGAATAGAGGCTTTTTTCCAGGGGGGTTTGTTGGTGGTGGTGAGGAATGTCAGCATCTGTGTTGGGGATATTTTCTGTTTTATAGCTGTTTTCCCAGAGATCTGTGGTGAGAGAGCAGGGACTAGGCTGCAGTCCCGGCCTCTGTACCTCATGTCTCTCCACGTTGGCAGGAGGGTAAGATACCAAACCAGACATAGTTCCTAACCTGTTCAACCCTGAGCCTGTTTTTCAGGTCTCAGGTTCGAAAATGCAATTTCCAGAACAAATGACCATAACTACACTTCTAAAAGGGGAAAATTAATAATCTTTTTTCTCAAAGTAATGATAAACCTTTGAGTTGGATGTAGAAAAGTCAGAATCAATATAGATGTTTTTTTATTTTAAAGAAAATTCAGATTGAACATAGTAAAAAACTGTAAATTATAGTGTCCGTCCAAAAATTATTTTTTACTTATAGTGAAACCTACCCTTGGATGATGGGTTAGTTAGTAGACTAAAAGCTTTAGGAATCCAAAGTATAACATATAATGAGTACCCTGTATCAAGATTGATGCAAAACAAGTGACATTTTACCTTTTTAGAGAGATTTAGCAAAACAAAACCACTTCTGGGGTCATTTGGGTGGATTTTCCATATCTCTGGCCGCCCTTGGTCGATTTTGATGATACATCTCTTTCTAACCGTCAGCGCCAATGTAATCGAGGGAAAGTTCCCCATACACACACAGGTTACCAAATAAGGAGTGATAGTGACGCGTAGAAAAACCGGAAGCTGCGCTAGCCTCTTGTGGCTACCATTAGTAGCTCATTTTGATTCTCAGTTTTTTGCATAAAATGGAATTATGGATTATCAATATTTTTTTCAAAGTGACAGACACATTGGATTAACCTTCAGCCGCGTTTTTTTCTCGTTTTAATGCCATTGAACACAACTTTTGATCAGAATAACAGCTAAGGTGAGCATATCTCCGTTTTATGCTACCTAAAGCTACGTCGTGTGTTGTCTGTATTTGCTTCCCCTGTCATGAGTTCTGATCGCTCAGTGATGATCCTTATACTTCTATAATCTGTGGAATCTCAGGATGTTATCTAAGCTTGTTTGTGCAGATCCAATAAGTATATCGATCGGTATAGCTAGAGTTCTGTGCTAAAGGCTTTAAGATTGTTTTGCCCGTGGCTAATTCAGAGGCTCAGCTGTAGCTTTGAGGGTTTTAAAAAAAAAAATATATATATATATCAGTTATCTGAGTTTCTTCCCGTTACATAGATATGAAACATTCATAGTTTATTAAATCTTAAGAAGCCCTCAGACACTTTTGCTTGCAGATGTTGTGATTTCGGCTCCTTCGGCGGGTCCGTTGGGAAGTCACACAACCTAATAAAAATACAGTATGATTTTGTATGCTTTATGCTCTTGTTTTGTTTTCACAGTGCTCATGTTTATGACTGCTCTTGTTTTAAAGTCCTGCTCACAAGACAGGATGCTGGTATAGTTGCTCTATCAATATCCACAGTAGAAGTCATGTGCTTCTTCTAGATAAAGGATGTTATACAACACTGTTAATGTGATTGCTTTGTATACAAACTCTACTGATATAATAATAAATATATATATATATAGTTAAAGTCAAATAATACAAAAACAATCACATTAAAAGCCAGATTGAAGAGGTGAGTTTTTGTACGTTTTTTGAAGGTGGTGAGNGTTATACAACACTGTTAATGTGATTGCTTTGTATACAAACTCTACTGATATAATAATAAATATATATATATATATATATATATATATATATATATATATATACACACAATACATACATATATATATATAGTTAAAGTCAAATAATACAAAAACAATCACATTAAAAGCCAGATTGAAGAGGTGAGTTTTTGTACGTTTTTTGAAGGTGGTGAGGTCAATGCAGTCTCTGATGGGTTGTGGGATTGAGTTCCAGAGGGAGGATATGACCCAAGGGCAGTAAAAGCAGAGGAAATGATCTGGTTAAAACTTGATAAAAAGTAATATCTCCGAATTATGGCAAAAACAAGATTTTCCGCTCCGGTGTTGGTCTGTCTGCTGAAGTGGGCCATGTTTCACATGGAGGTCTGCCTGGTGGGGTGGATGCTCTTCTGTGAAAAAAAGCAGACAGATGAGAGAGGAAGGTGTGTGTGTGGCAGATGTGCAGGGGTATAAACTGACAGGATGTTTATCAGGAATGCTGTGGGGTGACCCAAGCCCCCCGCAGCCACATAACAGACCAGTGATGATGTGGTTTTTAAAATTGCACTCTGGAGGCCTCTACCTTTCCCTGCTGAATGTGATGGTTACAGGGGGACTGCTGAGCCTTTAACTAACTTTAATACATCTACAACATAAATGCTGTAAAGTATTAAGTTAAACTGGCTTGTTGGCTGCTGTAATTATTTAAAGTAAATAGTTTTTCCCTACACGACAAACGCATTTTAAGTAACATAATATTTGGGACTTCTGCTTGTTAGCATTCTTGCTAGATAAGGAGATTGCTAGCCTTGTAGGCCTAAATGTCGAGCTTCTGCCAGCAGCTGGTTAGTTTAGTTTAGCAAATATTGAGGTACAAGAACGTAATTGGTTTTTGAGGACCTATTTTTGCCTTCTTATAAATAAGATAAAATAAATTTAATTAATTTTGTTATTTCATCACTTTCAAAACACCATTAACACCATTCCGAAAACTTTCTAACAAGCTTCTGTCTTTCGGTAGCAGCTTCATACTTAGCCTATGAGAGTGCTTGGCTATATCTTACCCAACCCAACTGTGAAGGAAAGCAAGTTCAGGCATTGCCTATTCCTAAAATGCTATAGGTTGTTTAAGTCAAAGGAAATCATTTGAGTTAAATTAACATTCTCCGCCTTTTGTAATGTTCATCCAGTAGATTAGCTGATGCAAAGTGAGGAGATCATTCCCCACGTCTCCTGAAAACAAATACAAACGATCATTAACGGACGCGTGCTCGAATACACATAAAACCGAGGAAATCCTACTTTTGCATCTCAATCAATTGTCTATGAAGACTAGTGGTTCACTTTTATTTGCATGGGGGTGGGTGGGAAGGGAGGAGGGAGAAAAAAGGAGGGGGTGTTCCTCCTTGACCCCTCCTCCTCACCCACTATGTGAAAAAAAACTTGACCAGCCCCCTTCCCATTCCCATGGATCGTATTACGGGAGCTGGGAGACATCTGCTCCGCCACTAACAACGGAGCGCGTCCCCGTGTCTCAGACCTGCGACCGATTCCTCTCCCATGGTGCACCCTCTCCTCATGCTGCCCTCTTAGGCTACCCACAATTGTGATCTCTCCGTTTATTTGCGCCGCGATCATGAGGAGCCACATTGCATGTCCCATGCTGTAGTCCCCCCCGGACAGAACCCATTCCCGGCTCCATCCCTACACCGCGTCCGAGAGGCGAGTAGCGGCGGCGGAGCGAGCGGCTGCCCCGGTGCCATCGAGCAGCACATTTCTTTTTGTCTGTGCGCTCCGCAGGCTGCAGGCTGACGGCTTTTTTGGTGGCTTCGCATCCCCTTCCGCTGCTGGACTAGATTTTCGTGGGAAAGGACAACGAAAGGCGGATGAACAACACACAGATCTCCATGTCTGCTGTTTGATTTAATCTGCGTTTTGTGTCTTTCCGGGAATTTTTTGTTTGTTTTTGACACCATGGAGTCGGTGGAGAAGGAGTGTGGAGCGCTGGGTGGATTATTCCAGGCCATCGTGAACGACATGAAGGTAACACACACACACTCACGTTTACATTAAAGTAGACAGGGATATTATCTGACCTTTGTGGTTGCACGGTCGCATATTTTTACTGCCTTTGTCTCTTATACCGGGTCCTCCCCCACTGGAAACACCGCTGCAGGACATATCGAGAGATGAAACATGTTTCCCTTTGTGTTATTTGCATAATGTGCAGCAGGTCTGTCAGGCACTGGATATGTTCAACAATAGGCTACTTAAAACAATGAGTCAGCTTGTATTAAACTGCTATCTAAAACTGAAATCAGCAACTAAAATGTGTATTTTGGTAGGACCTAATTGGTGGTGGCTTTATGTGTTCAGGGGTCAACTCAACATGAGTAGAAATAGTTTATTATTATTATTAACAATTATTCATTATTGTTTTTCTGAAAGGAAGGGAAAAAGAGCTATCACAATTGGGATATAATTACAATGGTGTTGATCTCAGTGCAAATGTTCTGGGCTGCCATTTGATCCCAAACAACTGTTCCCCCGTCACCCCCCAGCCTCCAAGGTTTCCTAGATTAAATGTCAGACTCTGAAGGATGCTCTGATAGAAAATAGGCGGTTCCATCACCACATCCTCCTGGACAGAAACAGGCATGAAAGGTTATTGATTGTATTTCCTGATGTTTGGCCTTGTGGCAGGAAACTCCACTTTACCAATATGTAGCTCACTGAACATTTAAACCAGGCCTTACTTTAGTAACTGAATCGCCCCACCATGCATGTTTATTCTTTAAAACTTGAGTCCCCCACCTTTCTAAATAATTTCTTGAGCAGGATATAGATGCTTCCCATTATCTATTACACACTTTGTTTGTATGTGTTGGGGGAGGGGTCAAGTCAAGGAAGTGGAACCAGGGTGGTCTGTTGTTCAGCACAACAGATGGAAAGTGTGAACTCATTCATCAGGCCTGGAAGCAGCTCATTGTGCAGGATGCTCATGCTAGTAAGTGTCAATAAGAGTGAACAAGTCGAGTATCAGACGGCACTTTCCACCTAACAGATTTATTATTGATTGCTGGCTCACAGGCTGTGGTGCTTCTGACTCACTATTTATGTCCCTGCGTTTATCCAATGAAATCAGCTCTCGGCCATTGGCAGCGCTTTGGTTTCATATATTTCCCCTTTGTGGTGTGCTCATAGGCCAGAGAGGGAGAGACAGGCGCTCTTAGAACGAGGCAGTCTGTGTATTGATAAGCAGTGCAGATGAATGAGACTGAAGCCCTTAGTCAGCACAGTGTCCATGTCCCCTGTCTGAGACAGACATCTGACCTCATTCCTTCCGCCTGGCTGGTCCACACAGGCCTGTCAGAGCAGCTTTACCCCCCGGGAGCAACGCAGCAGCACGGCTTTCCTGTGCTGATCTTGCGGATTGTGAACAATGTTACAGTATAGTGTACAATTACCCACATGATACTTAAACACTGCACTTGGAGAACCAAAAAAACCTTTTGACAGACTGTACTGACAAAATGTGATTATATAAGCACCACCTGTTGGTGATATAACTCTCTGACAAATCTGCAGGAAAATAAGTAGGAGGCAGTGGCAGAAAAGGACTACAATGATTCAGCTGGATGACATCAGCAATCAAGATTTAGGTCAGCCATGGATGTGAATATGGATGTGACTCCAAGCCTCTGTGTGTGGGAAAGCAACCACCTTTAAAATGCCCTTGAGCAACGCTGCGCGCCACCTCAGAGGATAATGGTTTTGACCTCGCCCCGCATTGAATGGCATGGAAGGAAGCGCCTTTCCTTCTTTCCTTCCTCTGTTTGTCTCCCATCACCTCCCAGGGAGCTGCAGGGTGTGGATGAGGAGAGAACTGCGAGTCCCACCCTTCCACTGCTGTGTACATGTAGTCTCTCTGCCTGCTCCTTCACCCTCCTCCCTCAGCTGTCTTGGCAGCGCATCCCTGCTCCCCCCGGGAGTCACAGGCCACACAAGCTAATTAGACACCTGTTGGAGTGCAGACAGCCAGCCCGGGAGGATCATGGCAAACATTTTGCTTGTGTTCAATGGCTCCTTAAATCACTTTCTAAGGCAGAGAGTTAAACAGTAGATGTTACAGCAGAACTGATGAAGAGCAAGACTGTTTTTCATATTGCAAACTGACTATATATAGTCAGGATGTGCGGCCTCTTTTGGCTCGTCTCCATCTAAGGGGCAAACGTGGTTTATGCCCTTCATCTCCTTTCTCCAGGGCTCAAGCTCTTGCTCTAATGGGATCTAGCCTTGAATGTGTTTTATGTTTGGCTTCTGCTATTGCAGCTCAAGGCTGCGTGTGATGATCCTTAGGTAAATCGAATCCAGATTTTTCAAAGACCAGCCCTACTACCTGCCCGGTGCACATAAATACTCTGATATAAGAGCTTATGCATGTTCAAAGGATATCCAAACATGTGAACACACATACCAGCCCACAGCACAGAACCAGGGTGTAGAGGGCATTTAGGATGATTGAGGACAATTATTACATAAGTACACTGAGACATTAAGTTAACCTTTTTAAAGATGAGTCAGAGCACGGAGCTAATGTGCCAACCTGTCTTTAACCTCAGTGTAAAGAGCCATGCTCCATCATGTTTGTCTTATTTCAACTTTGTGTTGTGTTGTGTTGTGTTGTGTTGTGTTGTGTGTGTGTGTGTGTGTGTGTGTGTGTGTGTGTGTGTGTGTGTGTGGCTGGCGGGCGCTATCCCTGTGCACTTAAATGTCCTTGGAGAGATATTTGTTTGAATTTTTCTCTTTTTCTTTTTTCTTATCAGAGCTCTTACCCTGTTTGGGAAGACTTCAGTGCCAAGGCCACAAAACTGCACTCTCAACTCAGGTGAGAAGTGTATCCAGTGAATAGTGAAACCTGGATACTAAAAGTATTTAAGCAATATATACAAACTTGCATGTGCCATTTTTATTTTCAGGACCACAATTCTGGCAGCAGTGGCCTTTTTAGATGCCTTTCAGAAGGTGGCGGACTTGGCTACCAACTCAAGAGGTAAGTGGGAGGATTCTTCTATCAATACAAGCTCTCATACTGGGAAGACTGAAAGAAGTGGTGGAAAAAAAAGCCAGATTGTCCAAATTCAAGACAACAATGGCCGTTCCAATATGTTGCACTAGCATAAGTTATTACTTATTGTAGGTCGCTTTGGATAAAAGCTTCAGCTAACTTCAATGTAATGTTCTCCTGACTGGCTTCAGCAAGACTTTGATGACAGAT